ATGCTCACTTGGTAAGGAGTCTTTATGGGTCTCGGGAAAAGCCGGTAAGATGTCCTACGGACGGCCAGACGGCTTAGAGACTCGAGCGTTATACTCACAAAGATTCTTGTCTCACTCATACTTACATACATACTTACCATGGGCGGCTAGCAAGCTTGAGCTCCGAAGCCGCAATTGCAAAGCTCATTTCTAAAAGCGTACTGTCATCCATTGATGGTGTTGGCTTTGTCCATTAATAATGTAGGAGGGTAAGAGGGTAAGAGGGTAGGAGGGTAGGAGGGTAGGAGGGTAACTTGGAAAGGTGTCTCATTTTCCAATTCGACGGCAGAACTGTGCATGAGGTTGTGTCACCAGCCTCAGGATGGCCAAGCAGCATACATAGAAGTGGAAGCAAACATAGATGGCGCGAATTGATTCTAATTGATTCTCAATGTATTTAATTAACCTAGCGGGCTCTTCAAACTACATGGGCAGCTCTAGACGTTCTAACTTAAGTAACCGATGTCCTCACAGTCCGCTAGGTCCAACACTTTCCAACGCCCGCCGCGGGATGTATTACAGCAACGTCGTCTTTAGGGAGACAGGTCGTCATCCCGTCGAGAAGCGAGAATTTCACCGAGGTGGGGGTTCCCATTGTTAAGAGTGATAGCTCACATGGTAAAAAGATGAAAAGATCATACGGACAACATATGGACAACATCAAATATTCATTTGTCTTGCCCCCGCGATACTTCGAAGTTGTGGTAAAATAAAACCAAAAAAATCCTTCGCTGGTGTCTACGTGAAACGAGATATTTCTAATTTCTAGCACAAGATTGAACACCAGCCTATATACTATGGTCCGATATGTAGTCGGACCCGGAGCCTTAAGAGGGGATTAAGCTTGCGATCTAGAACCGGGCCAGCGAGTTCCGATGTCGAAGGGACCAGTCGGTCACAACATCTTGCACCTCGACAGTCTTGCAGATGTGGGAAAGGGTTCGCAACGGATGAGAGCTGTGCTCTGTACCGGTAAAGTAAAGGGTACGCAGGACGCGCAATGTGGTCCAAGCCAAGGGTCGAGCCAAGGGTCAGAAGAACAAGGGTCAACCACTTAGTCTTACATGGACCAGATGAACGAACCCCCACACTTTTTGTACGAACCCTGACAAGATGTCGCAAGACAAGTTAAGCAAGGGCCCAGCCCACAGGCCATTTAAACCCCACTCAAGCCTCTCTTTCACCAAGTGTGGTAGGAGACAGCAAGCGAAACCGTGGCTAATGGATCATCTAAAGCTGACAAGCTCGCGGCACTATGTACATAGGTATGTATGTACTGACCATGAGTTGCCTCAGTACATACTGGAGTTACTTTATAGCCGTCCGCTACCATGCCATCCATGTACATAGTTGAATAACGAACTCCACCATACCAGCAGTATTCATTCTATTTTTGGTCAATAGATCTCGTATGAACCTGCGTCTCTCTTATACCATGGCTATATTTGACGTCCAATTGGTACTGCCCTCTTTTTCGGTTTTTTTTCTTCCTCTCTTGACTTCAATGCTGCCCATTTTCGATAAATAACGGCTTGACCAACACGGCAGAAAGGAACACTAGGTAGCTCAGCCTCGCGGCTTTCCCATATGGTCCTCTAACGCGAGCCTCTTTGGAGGATGATTCCGGTTCCCCGTCGTTCAAAACAATGATGACGAAACCATCCGTTGACTCGCTAGCCATTATTGCCATGGCTAAACCCTTTAGTCAAGCCGCCAAGGTCCAACGGTTACTTTTCGTTCGCGTGGTAGTGGGCCGGGACACCCCTCAGTTACTTGTTAGCTGCATTGGTGAAGTTCGTCTGTCTGTCACCTGAAGAAGAGGCTGGTAGGGTGGCCAGTCATCATCTCAGATCGGTCTTAGAATTTTCAGCGTTGCAAGATCAAGGCGTAGATCGTCGCCTCCTCTTGCGCAACAGCAGGAACTTGGAACCTGGCCGCTCGTAAATGAATTGAATTCCTTAAATCCCTACCGTAATATACCTACCTTACATACATGCATAACAGCTTTTATTGTTAAAATGTGGGATGTGGGATGTGAGCTACCGTGTCACTTCCCACATCTACATAGACGCACAACGGCAAGTCGAAATGCGTCTCGAAGACCAGAACTCCGTCACATGTCAAATCCTTGAAATTACATACATAGTACTAATACCCTCCATCTACATCCCCGGTGTAAGTAAGATGGGACAATAAATATAGCGCCTATTATAACGACTATCGCATATTCTTATTAATATATTTGGTGCTTATTCAATGTCTCTCATTCGACGACTTGGCTGCGTCTGGAATCATGCAGATTCGCTGTAACAGAAGATTTCGAAGTCGGCTTCTCATATATTTCCCCTTTTGTCTGCAACTCTCATAAGGCAGGTCGTATATCGTATACAAAGCGTTTCTTTCCTAATATGCGACCGTCGCAACTTGCAACTCGGGATCGCCACGTTTGTCGTAGCGTAATATCACGGAGTGCTTCAAGGAGCAACTACCTACATTAGACCAGGCAGGTCCTGCATCTCTCAAGTTCGTGAACTTGTTGGGACCCTGAAAACCCGGCCGAGTGGGTCGACTGTCCAAAATAGCCTCAATTGCTAGTGACGGCTTCGTTCCCAGGGGGGGGCTTATCTGTTATGCAGTATATACCACATAGTAGGTAGTTATGTATAACACACCTGATGTAATCAAAATCGATTCCACTGGTTCGTTGGTCCAGACTAGGGCCGGTAGTCGCCGCGAAGGTAATGTTGAGCCTATCCAGGCCTTCTGCTTCGGCTACACTACCGAAATAGGCCATCGTTGGCTGTTACATAGAGGTTACTTAAGGTGAGGAGTACGATGACATTATATTAACTAAGCTTGTACTATACCAGGTTGTAAATATAAGTCACACCTAGGAGGGTCTAGTCTTACCGAGCCGTTGGACTCTCGAGCCGAGGGATGATTTACAAGTAGGTACAATGCGATGCAGGCGTAGAACAATAGTGCAGTTGAGAAAGACCGAGTGCTTACCACCAATCAATACTCTGTATTCCAGCGAGACCTCGTGACAAACTACTAACAACAGCACTACAACACTTACTGGAATCCGGTACCGAACCGCTAGGTTAAGAGGTTAGGTTCTGGGCCCCGGTGATCTCGGTGGTACTAAATGCCTTCTGGATTTCGTCCTCCTCCGCCGGATTTAGCATTTCCTGCTTCAGGTCCGAGGGGCCATAAATCCTAGGGGAAGTCCCCGCGACTGCGCTCAGAAAGCTCGACAGCCGACTTGAAAATATGTTCCGAGGCAAAAGACGGACAGGAGGCCCGATTTTTGAGCGGTCTAGAACTGCTTAGTGTTGGCAAATACCCAACTGCGAGCAGAACAGGCGTGGAAGTACATATAACAGGCATTGAAGTATTTGACCGAGACGGATAGGCACGCAAAAGGCCAAAACCCGCGTGAGAGGTAGGTAGGTATCCTTTCCGGGTTTGGGAAAAATTCTTTTCCTTCTATCAATTTTTTCTCTCCTCGTGTAGTCGGCCTCGGTTTCCCATTCTAGCCGCCGACAGCATCGCAGCTGGACCGGGGTCGTCCAATAACCGAAATGACTCGGCGTGGGGGTTTCCCAAGGGGGAGAAGACGCGGCAGGGTCGTCAGCTGGTCCACTAGGCGCGGGGGGGGGGGAGAGGCAAAGATGATCTCGAGTTTCCAGCATGTAGCAGCGAAGAATCGAGATGGGGTTGGGGGGTTGGTTAAGGGAGAAAAAAGCGCCCGGTTGATCGTGAGGTCATCTGTCTATTTCTTGAGTGATCTCCCGCGTAGGAATGATGTCGTGCTACCCACGGTCTCCTGCTTCTCGTCAGACAAGCATGGAGTGGCTTCGAGCGGGTGATGTTTGTCGTTCCTTCGAGCGTCACCGCAAATGCTGATCCCTCAAGTAAGACCCCGCGCCAAATAGTCGAACCATTGACCAATCATCACGAGCGTATAAACAATGCGACAGCGAACTCCAACTTTTATACGACTTTCCCTTATCGTCCACGGCATTGGCAATGAGAGCTGTTGTTGTTAAGCTTAGTGTGAGTGAGAAGTTGAACCGTTTGTCTGACGAAATGGGGACCTCCTAAAAGATATAGACGGTAGATATGAGTGCTCCTCCTTGAGTATCTTGTAAGTGACCACATCTGCCTATCTCTGATGGGCGTTCGAATGGGGCAGGTGACCAGGGGTTATACAGCCCTCTATCGTTACTCTAGAAGCCCACCAGATAGCACAGAGCTTGAGAATCGTAGCCTTCAGCTGGATGGGACGGGCGTAGAATTTATATTGTTCTAGGTAACCTGTCACAAGAGCTGCTAGACAATTTGTTACATAATAAGTCGCAAATCCAAGTCAGAATGTCGTCTAATTGCGCCATCAAGGTCCTGTTCCACCAAAGATAAACCCCAGCTGCTATCTGAGCTTAAGAAACATCAGCTGTGATTGAATCTGTCTTATCCTTGGATATCTGGCATACGCATCTGGGCTAGACACACATATGCATGAGAGGTAGGTATACATACTATGTAGTTGGCGGCGTATCTGGGGTAAGATCTAGATAGAGATATCTATGACAACTCGACCGCCAGATTGCTCGAAATGGTAGGGGTCTCAGCAAGAGGCTCTCCCTCTTGTCGATCTATTCTTATCTCCCCTATCACGCAATCTCCGCCTTATCTTGAGGAATGTGAACACGGACATCTGCGTGTCCCAAGCCTTATTCAATCCCATAAAGCTGCTAGGCCATCCATCTTTATCATTCCGTCTTAGATTTTCTTGTTGGTGTTGTTGTTGTCCCCAGGCTGTTACGTAGCTTTGAGAGCCACCGAATAAAAGGTTCACTCCTGTGGTAAGACTGGTGAAGATTGGAACCCTTGAGCTGTGAGGCTTAATCCTGCTGATGAGAAATGGCTTTCTCAATTGATCAAAATGGCCTCACAAAGCCGCAAGCGAGGCATAGCCCTTTGTTCGACTTAGCGTTGTCAACAGTCCCTTTGTGTATGGGTCGACTCAGCGGCGATGGGGGCTGATGGGAACTCATCGAAATATGCTGCCCTGCTTGGGTGCTTAGGCATAATGGCACATTACAAAATACACATACATCGCCAGGACGATGTTGGCGATAGTCTCGACAGACTTTAATTTTAAGCGGACCTGCCTTCAAACTTTGTTATGGACTGGTCTACTTTTTCAATCAAGATGTGACAGTGAATGGACAGGTGGAAGCACATCAGAACTGGGAATACTAGGTCCACCCACCGTCCACATCTCAACCACCACGATCACGACAACAATAGCATACAACCCTGCTGCAGCACCACCAGATTCGATGTATTCGTTATTAGGGTGCTACGGACGAGGGGCCGGGGCCAGGTCCGGGCCTGGCAACCAGAACGGAAATCTTTTCGGAAAAGAAGGGGACTATGTTGTCCTCACCACGGTGCCTGATGACCAGTTGACGATACGGGCTTGCCTCGAAGGCTGTGACGAGTTGGTCCCGCTAAAGAAGACTTCTGACCATTATGGACTCGTTGGACTGAGTAATGGAAGGTAAACGATCATACCCTGCTGCGTTACTAGCAACCTCCAAGCTATTCTACCTGTATGCGTGATACTAACGAACCGGGTAACAGAGAGTGTTTCTGCGGATTGAAACTTGTGGCAGAAGCTCGTAAACTTACTCTTGGGGATTGCAACATGCCTTGTACCGGCGATTCAGGGCTATCATGTGGAGGAGCGGATACTGTCGCCGTATATACTCTCATCGTCGCCAGCGAGAGTGACAAGGTTACAAGCCATGACAGAACCCAGGATAGCAGCCAGAGCGATGAAAAAGGAGACGAGAGCGCGGCCACCCCTACAGGAACTTCGCTATCTTTCACTGTCGTCAATACGAGTGCGGCCCTCAAAGCTACAGGTGGCCTAGAGCTTACAGAAACCGAAACCCTAGGAGGTTCACAGGAGACATCAGGGAAGGCAATCATACCCTCATCATCACTTCTTCCCTCGTCAACACCATCAGATTCTCCTGATGCTCCAACCACCGGACCTGCCATCGCCGCGATAACGGGCAGTGTCTCGGGCACCATCATCCTAGTAGCGTTCGTGGTTCTGTGTGTCCGAGCCTATAAGCGGAAGAAGCTCCAGGAGGCCGCGCGTAAAGAGGCTGTAGTTATACCCGAGAGCCAGCACGAGGACAACGACAAGCAGCTCACGCGACGACCGGCCCCAAGCGCGATCGATACTACGGGACATCAACTCCGTGATCTGAACAAAGGAACCGGACCTGTCGCCGGAGACGGCTATGAACGTGGACATGGCAAACGAGACGAGGATTTAAGTACCGGCGCATCAACAGACGGCGCATACTTGGTGCCCTCCACGCCCGCCCTCGAGTCTGGTACCCGTCTCCGTCATCCCGAGCACTCTGCACGCCTTGCAACAGCTCCATTGCCAACCATCGAAAGTGACACCCTGTACTTCAAACTAATGGACGAAGTCCGCACCGGCCCTGGTGTATCAGTAGTAGCGACCCCTTCGCCATCCAGCCCGCCTCCGTCGGCAACAAGCTCATCGGTCCAGTGGCGAGGAAATCCCCTGAATCCCCTGACGCCGTCGGCAGCATCCACCGGCCAGTTCAGTTTCGACTTCAACGCCAAGCCCAGCGTGTCGAGCCCAACACCGGCTGCCCGTCCCGAAGCCACCCCTGGCGATCGTGCTTGGCACAGGCGCAAGGTATCTAAGACGTTCCAGCCGCCGGCCAGCGGACCTCCTTCTATACCGCTGCCCCCCACGCCGCCTCGACGACAGCAGCAGCAGCAGCAGCGAGCTTTCGATTCGGTGCACTTCACTCCCACGCCCGCGTCGAGGGTAAAGCCTGGCCACGGCCAGCACGATAACGGCGAGAAGAAAGAGGGTGCTCGCGCCGCCGCATTGCCCGCGGGCCAGGGCTCGGAAGCGGCAGAAACACCAGCGCCAGCGCCAGCGCTGAAGGACTCCCCTACGATACCGCGAGCACAGGGGGATTCTCAGGATTTTCGACAAGTAGGAACCCCTGGACAGCAAACGAGCGGCGAAGGAATGGGAGAAGTAGGAATGCAGCTGATGCCGCCTAGCACACCCGCGGGACCGTCTGGCTCTCGTCCGAATAGGGATACGATCTACACGGTGGGAGAAGAAGAAGAAGAAGACTGGCCTGTCAACGGCGGCAGTGAGGCAGAAGGACCGGAAATTTCGCCTGTGTCGACGGATACGGTCGGAACGAGCATTCTGTTCCCGTCGGATGATGAGCATTAGGCGTAGTGTACCTATGGCATAGGTAGTAAAGCCAACAATATCATGCGTTGTTTTACATGCTACAGATCTCTGGTAAAGAGAGAAACCACTAGGTTACAGGAGAAATCAATATACTTGATTCCACATCAAACTGACCATTTCTCACGTCGTCTAAGTGTCCTAAGGTAACCAACCATTAATCATTCTTCTTCCTATTGCATCAAGGAACTCCATACCTACTAATGTACCCAACCTACATTAAACGTCTCGTTTTGTATTATACCTAACCTAGGTACCTAACTATCAAAGTAGCAAAACTCCATTTCGTATACCCAAGACGCCATCTCATCTCCCTCTTCATCCCCAAGGGAGCGAACGAGGCTCGCGTAGATATGCTTCTGAAGACCAATGTATCTAAGTAAACCCAGCCCCTATATCCGGCAAGAGGCATATAGATAAAGCCAAGTTCCCTCATAGCATACCAGCAACAACCAATATCGCCCCCAGCGCAACCCCCATCATACCCGTAACAACCGAGCCCTCCGCCCCCGGCCCCATCCCCATCCCCACCGGCGCCGCACCGCTCTCCGCACCGTCCGTCGCAGTCGGCGTCCCCAGCGTCGTAGACGTAGTCAGCGTACCGCTCACAGCCAGCGCCACAGCCGCAAGTCCGGTCCCCGTCGTCGTAGCGCCGGCCGTATCGGTAGTCGTAAACGTGACGGTCTCCGTAGTCGTAGGGCCCCAGCTCCAGCCCGATCCCCAGCCAACCCAGCCGTTAAACCCGCCCAGCCCGTTCCAACCGCACCCAGGCCCTACGAACCACGGGGACCCGTCGAACGCGCAGCCCGTGACGGTGGCCACGCCGCCCGTCCACGTGCGCGACGACTGGAAGGCCGACGCCCACTCGCTCCAGTACTGTCTGTACGAGTCGACCGCAGACGCGTTCGGGGGCCCGTTGCCGTTGCCGTTGCCGCTGCCAAACGGGCCGCCGAACGCCTTTGCGCCGCCGCCCCAGCCCCCCGGCACGGCCCAGGTGACGGGGCCGCCCGAGTACGTGACGGTGCGTACGCCGGTGCTGCCGGCGGACGTGCACTCGGCGTACTGGGAGCACAGGGAGCTGGAGAGCGAGGTGTAGGACTCGAAGGCGGTGGAGGAAGATGACGTGGCGCACGCGCTGCTGATGCACGAGTTGATGCTGCTGCCGTGGTCCGAGTCGCAGTACTCGGACTGCGCGGGCCAGCCGCTGGTTATGGTGGCTGTGGGGCTGGACCAGGCGGAGGAGAGGCAGGATTGCTTTAGGGGGGGAGGTGTTAGTATATTGGAGTGAATAGATCATAAAGGAGCGTAGCTAGATAGGGAGCAGGGGCGTATACGGTAGGAGAGAAGGGGTATAGCGAGCAGGCGGACTAGAGGAGCAGGCAAGAAAAGGAACTCACAGCACAACCAGGAGCGCCTCTCCACCACTGCGCAGAAGCGGCCGCAGGCGCCAAGACGATGGCGACGGTTGATGTCTTCATCTTCCCCAAGCGGACTCGTATAAGCAAGCGGTATGTATGTGTGTATGGACGAACAAACGTATATCTAGGTACTTCCTATAACTATTCCAAGACCAACGATGCTTACTCCAAGACGTCAAGAAGCCTTCTTGAGTACGTATAAGAAGAAACCAAAGCACGTGTAGATAGGAAGAACCGAAGAAAGCATGCAAAGTCGAGAGAAAAAACACGAGAGCATATACTTATATGCTGCTCTCTCTGGGTGGCCGAACAAAGACCGGACGGCTCGGTCAGCAATCGAGACTTTTGTGTCATGTATGTCAAGGGCTATCACGTAACCAAGACGAGTGTGTCCAACACCAGGGCTGCGAAGACCGTTCGTCATCACCCTCACCCTCGCCCTCGCCTACCCATCTTTGTCTATCTGCTTGCTGTCCTGTCCTGTCCTGCATATTCTAATTCTCGGCGCGCGTGATCCTCTCCCTTCCTCTCCAAGTACGCACTTGCGGAACATTGGCTCGGCTACCACATACATACATACATAGGTGCCCTATCTCGGGGGGGGGGGGGGGGGGCGGACAGGGAGAAAAAGGAAAGAGATGCAAAGAAGAATTAAGGTCAGGACAAGTTCGGGCTGAGTTTCGCGGCGGGACATGTAAGCTTCCAGAAGACCCTTTCTCTTCCCTGGCCCACCGCTGGTTCCCAGTTGCCGATCCTACAACGCGTGAGCCCAGCTGAAGCCGCGCGTCCACGCAGCAGCAGTAGCAGCTCGCCGCCCGCGAGAGAGAAGAGAATACACGGCGTCTATGTACGACCATATCTGGGGAAGACAGCGTGAACGTGGTTGGTTGATGGAAGATCGGCTCGGGATATACCGTCCTACGAGAGCCACGACGTACGTACCTACTATGAGGTACCTACATAGGTCGCGTAAGCTGGGCTGGCTGTGTGGATTAGACCCAGGCTTGCCAGTGCCGTAGGAGTCGTAATCGCCCATGTTCGGCCTACCAGCACGCAGAATATCGCCGTGAGGAGTAGGTAACTAGCCAGTCTGTGTCTAAGGCAACTAAATGCAGGGCAACTTGTCCATCGACTTTCCCACACCTAGTTCACATAGTATGACGGCATACATAGTACGATCTTGGATCAAACGTGGACACATTCGATCACTTACTCTCCTCTACCGGGAACTGGGTGGCTAAGCACTATTAAGCTTCGTCAGTGCCAGGTTGTGTCTTGTAAATGGAAGCTTGTTTGCGCGGGGTTAAGCATTGGGGACGTCCGAAAGCTTGGTGAAGCATATTTGTGACCAATCAGCCGTCATCTCGGTGCTTTGGTAGTCCTCAAATGGCTAATTCTGCCAGCTTTCCGGTCCCGAAACCACGCCAGTTTTCTTCGCTTTCTTTGCTTACCGCCCTCTTGTACTCTCAACTTCCTACTAATTCATCTACTTCGCGTTTAAGTTCGGAGATTCTTAAATATAATTAGACAAGATTTAACCTTATCTATTTCATGACGAGCATTTTCTTTTTCAACCCCCGACTTGAATGGATCAGCAAACGGTATTGTAAAATCGAGCTTCTTCTTCATTATAGAAAGCCTGGAATATCCATATCAAAGACTGACGTGTGGTCTGCCGATCACCTTCGACGTTTCAATATTGAAGACGTAAGCATATGCTCATCGGGACAGAAAACTTGACAGGGCAACAAAGATGGTACATAGTAGGCTATACCTGAGGCTGAAATAAGGACAGTCTATTGCGACACTGTTGTACACGACTGGTGCTACTTCCCTGCCTCTCGACGTCGAAGCCCTATGGCTTCCCTCGGAACGACCGTGCCGGAATTAGACGCGTATACCCTATACCCTATACCCTATACCCTCCATTAACCCCCCTTGGTAAAACTCCTAATACAATATGCATAAGACCTGAAAACGCCCTTCTTGGAATCAATAAATAGCTCCTCGAGGAGCCACTGGCCGAAAAACAAAGAAAATGCGGTATTAACCACATTACCGTGTGACGATATCTTAGGGGTATTGTCTAAAAACTACCCGTCGCCATCAAATCATGTGGATATTATGTGGCGGCGAACAACAAAACTTGTCAACCTAAAACGAGGTGGGTCACCGCCTCTTGAATTTAGACAGCGGACGCCTACCCTAGAGCATCGTGCCAAACGTCTCGTCAGTCTGGATCCGCTTCCGTGGGCTGCCGTCCTCCGTGGTAGGTTTTCGATGACGGAACGTAAATCCAACGAAGAGGCCCTTGCCCATCTGCTCTTCTCGATCGGCCATAGATTCAAGAGCCTGTTGTTTATCGTGGACTTCTTTGTACTTGGCCATATCAGCTTCGTTGGTGAAATCATCAAAGTACCCTGCGTCCGTCTCCGAATCCAGCTCGGGTACAAACGGGGCTTTCGAGTCTCTCAGGGTGTTCCAGTCTACTTCGGCAAAATAATGATGCTCGAAGATATCCTTAATATTGGAAAACCGCTTGGATCTCGAATTGATACACCTGGAGCCTGTTAGCCTTATATTTTTCACCCTAATATTCACACGAAACTTACGTAGTGATAAAGTTCCAGGTACGGGTACTTAAGAAATAGTTCGGATCCTCCCAGACCGGTCGCTTAAGCACTTCTTTCCAATGCTTCAGATTATGCCACGTCTCATCGGCCGTAGAGCCTGCGAAGGGAGGAAATCCTGTGAGGGCTTCGAATAGCATGCATCCTAGGCTCCAATAGTCGACAGTGTAGTCGTACTCCTCGCCGCGGAGCACCTCCGGAGCCATGTAATCTGGTGATCCTACTATGGATTTCGCATAATTCGTGTCCCTCTCACGCATGGTTTGATAACCCTCTCGGCGCTCTGCCACGGTTCGTTTTTCCATAGCTTTACCAAACGGCACAGTAGTCTCGGAAGCCTTCTCGAGTCTGATGCGCATCGAATTGATCTTTGACGATGCAACATTGCCAGCCGCCAAGCCGAAGTCGGTTAATTTGACGTGGCCAGTGGAATCAATAAGGAAGTTTTCTGGTTTTAAATCTCGGTGAATATAACCCAGCTTGTGAAGTGCATCCACGGAGCAGAACATCTCGGCGATATAGAAACGAGCATGGCGGTTGGATAAGACGCCCGTGTTGTTGAGGAGAGTTCTAAAGTCTCCACCAGGTACGTATTCCATGGCAAGATAGATATTCTTGTCGTCTTGGAACGAGTACAAGAGGCGGACGAGCCACTCGCTGTTTGCAGTGGTAAGGATGTCTCTTTCCGTGAGGACATGGCGGATCTCGTCCAACTTAAAGAGCAGCTTCTTGCTCATGACTTTCAAGGCGCACACCTCCTTGGTATCCTTTTTCTGGGCCAAGAACACTTGTCCGTAGCCTCCTTGACCAACCTGAGTCAGGATTTGGAAGTCACCCTGTCGAAGGCGTATACGACGCTTGCGGAGATTTGCCCGCTCTCTGCCAGTGTACCTCTGCCACAACTGATTGTACTCTTCTTGATCAGTTTCCGGAGGCGCAGGCACCTCAGCCTTGAATGCGTTTAGCCGCGACTGTCTGGCACCGACATAGGTGAGCAGGTCGAAATAGTAGTCTAGGAAGTCTTCAAGCAGTCAGCAGTGTAAACATGGTTAACTTGGCAAGGTAATCTTACACAGTTGCGTGACATTAACTAGACGGCGGACGTTGGGCTTCTTCAAAAGCTCCATTTCTTCAGGAGTAAGACCGCGAGAGGTGTTAAATCTCTTGGTCGTGGGCGTTATTGGCCGACTATCTCGGAGCTGGTAGAGTTCTGCCCGCGATATCGCAGCTTGGTTGTGCTGATAGACCGAGTCTCGCACCGGGATTCTAGACGGTGGCGTGTTCTCTTGTCCTTGCTTCTTTAAGGGAGTTCCCGTGGGCTCCCCTGTCTTATGAACGATGCTGTTATCCACAGTGGGGGATGCAGTCGGAAAGTATCCATCATCAGCTGGTTGGATGTTGCTTTTGGCCGGCGATAGAGGGCTAGCTCCATTTTGAGGTCTTCCAAGTCTGACAGGGCTATCGAGAGAAACCGGGTTGAGTTTCAATGCATCGAATGTAGTAGGAAGTTCGTTGGCTCCTGGAGGTATCGTCTTCTTGCTCGGGCTACCCTGAGGTGTAGAGACGGGAGTGATGAATGTGTTCTTGGTCGGCGTGCCTGGAAGGTCTGAAACGGGCGACTTTGCGTCTTTTGGGCCTGGAGAGGGAAACATGGTGGAAAGGAAGCTTGCCATAGCTAAAGACACCAATGAAGAAGGTTATAGTAACTTCTAGTGTTGAGGCGTCGAAGGACGACCAAATAGGTAAACACGAAGGCCGGGGTAAGGGAGGGGCTCGCCGTGGGAGCAGTTAGCAAAAAGATGAAGATGAATCCAATTGATAAAGAATAAGACCAATTCTCATTCGAGGGTTTATGGTTTATGGGATATGGATTATGGTTTATGGATTATGGATTATGCAAGATGCAAGAAAAAAGATCCAAACTCCATGCACGATGGTTGATCACTGGCAACCAAATGATGCTTGTTTTTATTACATGCCGGTTGGAAGAATGAAAGGTGGGATATGTTCGCAATTGGGCTGCGATGAGAGGATGGCGGGGTCTTGAATTCTTGGGGAACAATAATAGACACAATAATAGATTAAATTATGTACATACATCGAGATATGGAGGTAGATACCTTAGGTTAGGTACCTCATACCTAGTAAAGTCAAAAGTCAACATTGTCACCCCGGCAGCCGCTAGACTACGGAGCGCCTAAGCTTTCTGTTGTGCGCACCTGGTTGCTGAGATCTCCCTTCCCTTGGCTCCCTTGCTTAGTGCACCGTGCTACAGCTACGTGCCACGGTTGGTTACCCAGTAAGTATGTACGTACCGTGTGCACCTAACCTAGAATACACTAGACCCGGCTGCCCTGGCGTTATCCCCTGCCAACTTTAAGCCACTCTGCTGGAATCCCTAGCTACCAGCTTATCGTCCAGTTTGTCTTATCATCGATGGGGGATAGGGATACCGTTTTAATTACCTGGTACTCGAGTATCATCACACTGTGTCATTGATGTGATGCAATAGCGTTGCACAAGGCTGAAATAAATATCCTGCAAGAACCCATATTTCATAACTACCTACCTTTAGGTCCTACGTACCTACTTCAATGTTCCTTGTCCCCAACGGCGCGTTTCCACCCGATTTATGCTGAAGTGCAACGCAGTTTCTAACGACCATCAATCTTTCGCAATAGCTGTATATACCTTGTTATCTGACTACCATGCCGAAGGAGAAGAATTTCAACCCGGTGCAGGCTCAGCGCAAAGCTGACAAGGCTAAAGCGCTCAAGAAAGGTAATTGCATATCGCTACCACGACGTTCGACGATATTGAACACCTATTAACGGTCTACTCGTAGGCAAGGCAGAAGCCGCCACCCGCCGAAATGAGAAGCTCGCAAAACGAAACCCCGAGAGGTTGCAGAAGCAGATCGACGACCTGAAGAAGATTACCTCTAGCGGCGGCAAACTCACCAAGCACGAAGAATCGATACTAGAAGGGTTGGAACGCGACCTGAAAGCAGTTAATAAGGCTAGGGAAGCACTGGGCGATAAGGCACCATCTTTTGGCCGTAGCGGTGGCTTTAGAGGCGACGGTCAAGGGAACAATAATGTGCTGGGCAAGCGAAGAAGAGGCGGCGACGACGGCCTAAGCAGCGATAGCGACGTGCCAGACGATGTTAAAAGTATACCCATGCCGCGAGACACGCCGCCGCCAATTCCGAAGGAGATATTAGACAGATGGTATGCAAAACGCAGGGCAGCACGAAATGCAAATGATACACCTCTGGGCGGTCAAGACAAGCAACCGCCGCCAACCGCGCCGGTAGAATCTAAGACGGTATATGAATCGAAGCCAATAGTACGCGATTTGCGTAAGGAAGCCGTTAGCGCATTCATGCCCACGGCAGTTCGGATGAAGATGGAAAAGAGCAAAGGCCACGGTGGTCTAATGGAGCCTGAAGAAGCAGACCGTTTGGAGAAAGAAGGCTATCTCAAAGCTACCCCAGCCCAAAATGACGCGTCAGAACTCGCTACGACGACGACAGGGCCCCAAAAAGTTTCGATGGAGGAAGTGGGAGACGATCAAGATTGAGCCTATCGAAATTCAATAACCATCCAACTTATTCTCGCGGGTGGCCGTCAGAGTCGGGTCCGTTCCTATTAGTTGAAAGTGCGGTGGTTCCTAGCTAAACGCTATGGCTGCTGATAGAGTGCAGAGCTTGGTTGTCTTGGATGTCTTGGTTGTCACACTTTGGCTAAATCTAACCTAGGTAGTGTTTCCCCTGCTTCCTGAAGGAGGGACGTGCCGTCCCTTCGTCGCTGGTGCCTGCAGCCAGAGACGCTTCCTGGTAAGAAATACAGCTTATCAAAAGGTCTGTTGGTTCTAGATACCCAAGTCTGGAGCATTGGGTATCACTCTGTCCAGGGGTAGACCGGTAGTTAAAGGTTTTGTGGAGGTGAATGGATCTGTAGCGGCTGCGTAGTACGAATTTTCGAGACGTAATCCATATGCAAAAAGAGTGAGATATCACGTCTTTCACACCTTGCTGCTCGACGACTGGCTAAAGTGGGTTCTGGCGGGGTTAGAAAAGTGCGGTCTGTTGCCTCCGAGGACGGATGGTAACCTTGATGTTCCTGGATTTCGGTCGAGGTCGAACGCTAATGTGGACCCAGATAGTCGTCGATGTTAAAATGTAACTACCAACATTCATGTTGGGTCCACGAAAAGTTTGTAGCTATAGCTGCTATAAAAAAAAGCTTGCAGACGTGCCCAACTAAAAAACAGTAAAAATCACGATTCCTAATGGTCTTCAACACCACTCGATAACACCAGTCTTGCCTACCTAATGTATAAGATAGACTCGGCGGCGCAATGGAAGATATAGAAAAGGCCGGACAATTCCCACAACAGACCCCTGCTATAGAAACCCCTGGTTCGACTTATCTTGAAAAGGATCAAGGATACTTCGACGCAAACCAGAAGCCTGATTTGTTTGCACGGGGCTATGGGCAGGCCGTCGACAAGACTAATACTAACACCGGGCGTGAGACCCTCCTCGGGGATGAAACATACCCGGAAGGAGGGTTAGAGGCGTGGATTGTCGTCTTTGGATCATGGTGTGGTCTTCTTGCCTCGCTGGGGCTGATGAACAGCATTGCAACGCTCCAGACGTACATTGGGACGCACCAGCTCTCCAACTACGATGAGGGTATCGTCGGGTGGATTTTTTCTTTATATACAGCATTGTGTTTTCTCTGCGGCGTGTATATCGGACCGCTCTTTGACAAATACGGGCCGAGGTGGCTAGTTGGGCCAGGCGGTATAATTGTTGTCGCCAGTGTTATGCTGTTGAGCATCTGTACAGGTATGTTGCCTCCTTTTCTTTTTTTCTTCTTTTCTTTTCACCTTAACTCGTGGAAAATATGCATGCTAACTTTGTTCAGAATATTGGCATTTCATGCTCAGCTGGGGCATCCTTAATGGGATAGCAACATCGTTTCTATTCACTCCGTGTCTCGCAGCCATTGGTCACTTTTTTAATGAGCGCCGTGGGTTTGCCTCGGGGCTCGCAAGTACGGGCGGCGGGCTAGGCGGCGTAATTTTTCCATTGATAATGCAAAGTCTCTTCGACAGGGTGGGATGGGGATGGACAATCCGCATCCTGGGTTTTATTTGCCTTTTCCTACTTACTTTTGCTGGTCTTTTAGTTAAGAGGCGGTTGCCTCCGGCTCACAACGCGAGTCCGCATCCGGACTTTCGTATTCTAAGGGAAAAGTCTTTTTTGCTCCTTACCATCGGCGTTTTTTTCCTGGAGTTCGGGCTTCTTATCCCGCTCGCCTACATCTCGAGTTACGCACTCGCGAACGGCTTTAGTGAAAGCTTTTCCTTCCAGATTTTGCCTATTCTCAACGCGGCGTCGGTGTTTGGGCGTGCATTGCCCGGTTGGTGGGCGGATAAAATCGGTGCCTTCAACACGAATATGATATCTCTTTGCGCCACAATCTTTGCGTGTTATGTTGTGTGGTTGCCGTTTGGCCACACGACTCCGGGGCTCGTCATATTTGCCGTCATGTTTGGGTTTTCGACGGGCAACAACATCAGCATTACTCCAGTCTGCGTGGGAAAGTTGTGCCAAACGCAGAACTACGGTAGGTATTATGCTACCTGTTACACTATTGTTTCTATTGCTGTTCTACTCGGCCTTCCCGTTGCAGGTTCCATCGTCAAGTCTGCCGATGGTAACTACTGGGGTCTTATCGTATTTACGGGGCTTACCCAGATTATTTCTGTCGTCGCCATGTACGCGGCTAGGGCAGAGAAAGTGGGATGGTCACTTTGGGCTAACTTCTAGCTAAGGCGAGTCTGGCTATCTAAGGTTTTCTATCACCTTGGGCAGCATGAAGGACTGAGTACCTCGAAATAAATTCCTCGGTATCAGGTAACCGGCCGGTTTTGGGGATAGAATTTTGGGGTACGGCATAAATAAACATAGAGGGAAACCGGAAAAGTTATGAGGTTATTAGAGAAATTGGCTAATGAACACTGTACGTATTTCAGCTACTACGGGGGTTCCTAAGGATTGGAGGTTAATGGGTACGGTCATATTAGGATATCTAACAGGTAGTTTTAGACAAGCCATGGTTGGACTCGAGGATTAAGAATTACGTAGTTATAGCTAATAGGGTTAATACTTGCATAGGTATAAATGAATGTTGAGAAAAATATATTAACACATGTGAAGTGGAGCGTACCTAGGTAGGTACTAAAGGATATACCCACGTATATGTACATACTTCGTACCTAACCTAGTGTAATTGTAGGGACATAATAATAGAATAAGGTTGAACATAGTTCGTGATAGCGTTACAAGGATGTACTTCGTACCTACCTCTCTAGGTACCTACCTAGGTATGTAAAGAAAAAGAAAAAAAAGAAAAGGGCTGCAGGGATCTCCGCACGAAACTCTATTCCTTGGGTCTAAGCTTCCAGGCTGCCAGGGCATTGATCTCCCTTCATCCGATGCATAACCCCACAGAATTTACTCACGTCAGCGGCGAAGACAAAGTTGATTATTGACGATTAACTTGTTGACGACCCATACAACCATACAACTATACAACCATACAACTATACAACCATACAACTATACAACCATACAACCATACACCATATACCATAACAATTATAATTCTCTCATCTGAGCTGCCTATCTGGGGCTTACTATATTTATGTGTGTTTCATAGCTGCATAACCGTGCATGCATATCTATCTCCGAAATATCATCCTCATCTCACCAAAAACCCTCAACCGATTTTTGCGGCAATTTCTACAATTGCCGATAAGACTGTTCGGCCACGAGGTTATTACTATAGTAAGTAAGTCTATCTCTATTTCCTCTTGATATAGATTTATATGTTTTTAATTCAATCCGCAAGCGGGTGTAGTGCACTCTTTGTATGCTTTACGTTGCTTTTCTTTCTGTTAATACAATGTCGAGCCGGACAAGTGGTCCTCCGCACGGCTGACCCGGGGAGGGGGAGGGGGAGGGGGGAGCCGGGGGCCGAGGCTTCGGTCTCACCTCGTCTAAATCAGCCGGAGTGCCGGCGATTACTACATGTAGTAGTCGCCACATGCCGCGCCAGCTTCAGCAGCACATGCATATTACGATTATGTCCTATGTCCCCTGTCCAGTAATTATCTCACATATTCTTATCACAAGAGCCCGTGGCCTCTATGTCTACTATACTTACATATATTCATCCATCAATCCATCAACCCATCAACCCATACGTTGACGGTTCACTTCATTGCTGCATCACTCCACCCACCATGATCGATCCTCTTCTCACTAACAAAATGGCGTCACAGACCTTGGACTTAGATCCCCAGAACTCTTGCTCACTTAGAAAAGAACAAGATTTATCACACCCTTTAAGTCTCGCATTTAATCTATCAGAATCTCGCTTTTCTACTAGGTCGCCATCTATATCCTCCACCTCAAGTCAGGACACCATGTCGAGCAACACTACTAACACATCCGCTTCATCAAACCAAGTGGTTGAAAATGCCTACTTCAGCTCTAACCCACCCCCCAAGGCTTTACCGCAGCATGTTGCGGCCGCTGAATCATTCATAAATCAACACGCGGCGGCGAATAGGCGGGTTGTTCTTGTTACCTCGGGTGGGACTACCGTGCCTCTCGAAAAGCAAACAGTACGCTTTATTGATAACTTCAGCGCCGGAACAAGAGGTGCCACATCGGCCGAGTATTTTCTAGAGTCTGGATATGCTGTTATTTTCATGCATAGACAGTTCAGTCTACTCCCGTACAGTCGGCACTATAGTCATTCCACAGACTGCTTTCTAGACTTCCTGCATGAGGACCCGGATGGCAGTGTCGTCGCGAACCCGGCACACCAAGACAAGATGCTGCGTGTGCTACGCAAGTACAACGCTGCTAAGCGACAGAATCTCCTACTGATGCTCCCGTTCGTGACTATCACCGATTATTTGCACGAGTTACGCGCAGTAGCACAGCTCATGCGCCCACTGGGTCCTAACGGCCTATTATATCTCGCCGCGGCAGTAAGCGATTTCTTTGTACCGGAAGAACGCATGTCGGAACACAAGATTCAAAGCACAGATGCCACAGACATGCTCAAGAAGCAAGGGCCGAAGACAGTCACGAAAGAGCCTAGGGATTCGTCGAACCAAGAAGAGGAGACGTTCGACAACTTTGACTCATCACCAGCCGTGCCGCGGAGTAAGCGTCTTATCGTCGACCTAGATCCTGTGCCTAAATTCCTCAAAAATCTCGTAGACGGCTGGGCGCCCGAGGGTATGATTGTCTCGTTCAAGCTGGAGACTGACCCGGCGATCCTCGTCCACAAGGCCAAGTACTCGCTCGAGCGGTATCAGCACCACCTCGTCATCGGGAACCTGCTGTCGACACGAAAGTGGGAGGTCGTCTTCGTAGCGCCCAATTCAGAGGATAAATGGATTCGCGTCCCCATCAACCGGCGCAAGAAGACGCTGAGCGGCATCGAGGAATTGATTGGCGCATCAGACCAAAATAGTGGAGAGAACAAGCCGTTAGATCCGGCGACGCTGCCGGAGGGCGAACCCGAAATGGAGATTGAAAGTTTGATTATACCCACCGTCGAGGAACTACACTCGAAGCACATAAGGTTAGCTGCTGAGAGGAACGGGCCCAAGTAATAGGTTATTCGGTCCAAGTGAGTTGCTTTGTTAAATCATGGGCGGCGTTTTGTGTATATAGTATATATTCCCAATGTCGATGTCCCCGGCAGAATCCAGTAATTGTATTTTATCTTGCTATAGCTTATATATAGCAAGAAGCCAAGATTTTCCGAGACGCTGATAGCCACCTCAAATACGAGCTAAGCCATTTATATGTACATAGCTCAGAGTGGCGTGATGTTGCATGAAATTATATGACAGTGGTATAGCTACTACCCACTCCCCGATCATCAATGGCAATCTTTATAAGGACAGACAAGTCTAGAAGTTGCGAATAAAAAAAATTCTTTTCTTTTACAAACTAAGAACTTGGACATACCCCCGATGATATAACGAATTTTCTGTGCATTTGACTGCTCTATTCCTGTCCCTATAAATACCTAGGTTAGGAGGTACCTACCCCCTGATGAGAGGGACCCACGGTTTGAACAGTAACGAACAAGGTGTAAATCATCACAAGAGTTGACGCTATTATGCCACCTAAATTGCTTAATATTACAAACAAATTCGACAGGTCTGATTAGAGCGAACAGGGCTAGTAGAAACTACGCGATTCGCTAGATATATGATCCATGAGATACTTATAAAAGCTTGTGACCGAATTCGAGGCAAACCACGAGACATTAATATACCATTCTAGACTGGGGCGTCGTTTGCTATGCTGCTTGAATGATACTACGTCCTTGATAGAAAGGGTTTGTCCTCCGTTTTCGGTAACCTAATAGTGATGTGAAAGAAATATACCGGATTTGAGAAAAGACTGGAGGTCGAGTTCGAGGGACAATATATTCTACCTAATGCTATGCCCTTATAATTTAGCAAGCTTTTAAGCACTTGAAGCTACATAGAAATCCGCATGGAAACGTAAACAAAGCCATAATACCTAACACCGCCGGACGCAGACTTTTTAATGTTGCCTTCTTTGTGTCGTAATATGAACAAAAGTCCTGCTAAACTCGGGCAAGCTTTCCACCCCGTCATGTGCACCCGTAACTTTCCTATTTTTGTTGTTTGGGAACATCACATAGCATCGCCATGGCTCCTGTAGCCGAACCTTCGTGGGGTGCAGACCTCAAATCTGTTGCTACACGGCTACACGATAAACTGCTCAAGGAGGATAAAGCAGTCAATTTTAATGAAAATTTCGATGAAGACAAAGTCGAGAGCATTATATACGAGTTGTTGAATAGCCTGGTACCCGACTTGGTTAAGTCGCGACACGAAGCTCTGGAAGAATCTTTAAGAGAGGCTCGGGATGATGTCAAATGGATAGTAGGTGAAAAAAAGAAAGTTGAAGATATCCTTCAAACAAAGAATGACGAATTGGACAATTTTGAGTCGAAATTTAACGGGGCAATGTCCGCTCAGAGAGAAAAGCACCAAAGGCAGTTAACCGTTGTTGATCTTGAAAAAATGGAAAGGGATGAAATCATCGAAGAAATGAAAGTAAAGATGAGGGATCTAGAGAAGGAGAATAAAATGTTCGTAAGACGAAAAGAGAAGGAATATGCCGAACTAGATAAAAACTTTAAACAACTGACCGAGGAAAAGAATGTTGTCGATAAAGAGCTCAAGCGAGCACAGGAGAAAATCCGGTATAGCGACGTTGACTTGAAACAAGAAATGGCCTGGGGGAAAAAACAGGAGGCTAACTACAAGGCAATGATGGAGGAATTCACAAAGTCAGAGAAAAGTTTAAAATCCGCTCTCAAGACGTCAGAAGAACTTCAAACCCAGGTTGATGAATATGCCCGGAAAGAGAAAGAACTCCAGAGCACATTAGACGAAAAAGAAAAAAGAATAGTGATGCTCGAGACAAAGGTATCCGAATTTACCAGACTTAGGAGCGCAAGCTTCAAGAGTATGAGCACTTTGTCGGACGCGTCAGAAAGGGGAACAGACAACCTAGCCAATGAACTCGAAGCCGCGGCAAGTATAGAACGCATCGGGGAACTTGAAGAGCAAGTTGCGAATCTCCAAGGGGAATTGGCCGGTATACGAATAGATATCAAGAAGGTCCAGAAAGAGCGCGACGACTTCGAGGCACAGTTCAAGAAGGCCAATACTAAAATCGAGGAACTCAACAAGGAAGCCACTCGCCTCAAGCCGTTCGAGGATCAAGCAAATACCCTCGCAAACCGCGAAAGGGAGCTCCAATCCCAAGTCAAGGCCAAGGGGCAGGAACTCAAGAAGGTCGAGGACGAACTTAACAAGGCAAATGCCGAGATCAAGAGGCTTCAGCGAGGCCCTGGGAGCAAACCAACCACCCCGACGGTCGTGCCGGTAGCCGAGCTTAACGCCGCAGTCAAGGAGTGCGAGAAAGAAAAAGCTAAACTCGGAAAGCGTATCGAAAAACTTGAGCAAGAGCTCGAACAGGCCCAGGAAACCCTCAAGAAGAAGCCATCAGAAAACGACATGAACGAATTGCGTCGTCTCCTTGCTGAAGCACAGGAGGACCTTAAAAATAAGCCGTCGGAAGACGACATTAATGAGTTGCGTCGCCTTCTTGATGAAGCAGAAGAAGAACTGAAGAAGAAGCCATCAGAAGAAGAGATTGACAAGCTTCGCCGCCGCCTCGCTGAAGCGGAAGAAGAACTGAAAACGAAGCCATCGGAAGATGACGTCAAGGAACTGCGTCGCCTTCTTGCTGAAGCAGAAGAAGAGCTCGAGAACAACTCAACGGGTGACGACATCGACGAACTCCGCCGGCTCCTGGCCCAAGCAGAAAGAGACCTCACCCAAGCGGAAAGGGACCTCAAAACCGAGCAAGAAGCCCGCGCCCGGGTGGAAGAAGCTCTAAGAAACCTCAAGCGAGAGGCACTCGCCAAAACCGCGGAACACGAGCGCGAAATCCGCGCCCTGATCACGGAGCACGCAACCCGCATCAAGAAGCTCGCCGCCGACTTCGCGGCGAAGCAGGGCAACACCAACGACTTCAACTCGGCGCTCGCCGAGTTCTGGGAGGACCTGGGCAAGAGGATCAGCGAGCGAAGCCAGAAGATACAAGAGAAGTTCGAGAAGCAGCTCGAGGTGAACAACGCGATGCGCAACCAGTACATGGACCGCCTGGCCCGCATGAACGATGAAATCAGCCGCAACCCGCACACCCCGGAGGCGGAGCAGGCCAGACGGCGCATCACCGGCGTCGAGCGTGAGATCGAGCGCATGAACGGCATCATCAAGACCATCAACAACGAGGTCTCCTGGTTCAATACCATGATCCCCGAGTTCGCCGCGGGCGCCCAACACGCCCGCGACGCACAGGCTGCAGCCAGCCAGGCCGCCGCCGCAACCACAGCCGCCGCCGAAGCCGCCCGGGCCGAAGCCGCCGCTGCCGAAGCTGCCGCCACCGCGCGCGCCGAGGCCGAGTCCGCGGTCCTGCGCGCCCAGGCTCAAGCCGCTATCGCGCGCGCCGAGGCGGAAACCGCGACGGCGGCGACGCAGACGCGGAACCGAGCCGTGGCCGACCCCTCCCAGCGCGCGATGTGGCGGGACGTGTGGCAGGGGCTAAGCGGGCTGTTCTGGCGCGACAGGTGGAACATAGTGGGGATTGCGAACATGGGCGTCCTGTTCCTGGCATTACTGATGTACATGACGCTGTCGCGGGAGGTGGCGCTTTGGAAGTCGGCGAACGCGCCGGTGCAGAGGGCTCTCTACGTCAATACGATGCACGAGGCTGACTTTTGCTTCAGGGTGCCGATGTGGAATCTGCTGTGGGAGATCATTCTTGCGGTTTTCACGGGGAAGATGTTTACGAGGAATATAGAGTAGTTGGTAGTTGGTAGTTGGTAGTTAGTAGTTGGAATTAGTTGGGATGTTAGGAGTCAAACCGAGGTTTATTTGTTAGGTTAGAACTACAGGGTGGATGGATGGATGGATGGATGGATGGATGAAAGAGGTTTAACTTGATTTATTTCGTCTTGCTATCTTCGGCGTAACATATTCTGAATATGCATTGAAGATGTTAGCTGACAAATGAGTCGCTAATAATAGAACTGATTTGGAATTGAGTCTCGAGATTATGTAAGAAGAATCCACTCGGCTGGTGATGCAGTTTGTACAGTGCATATCGCGATTTATACCATGATGTCAACTGTACGTCGGTGATCGGTTTCAGGAGACTTCACCGAGCAGGGGGTTTAACATACATATGGACATACATACCTAGGTAGGTACGGAATGCAGAATATGTAACACGTAAGATTAGTCACGGGTATTTGCATAACTATAGTATAGGTATCTACAAATAGTACCATAGGGTTAAATTCCAAATACTCATTATACCTAGGCAATGTCACCGATTTATAAGAATGAGTATTTATCAACCTCGGCTGAGGATATTAAAACCCACTCTCGATTCAATTGTTATAAGTACCGTTGTTATAAATAAACCATCAAGACAATCATTCTTTGTCACACAAGTTCCACGACGTCACCGAGAGTTAATATCTAGAGGTCATCTAGCATCTAAAGATTATCTAGCATCTAGAGGTTACCTAACGATAGCCAACACTAAACACCATAATATATTATTCTACTTGAGAATACAACCAAGACAACCGCAATTCACCCGCTCTCTCAACATGTCTTCTAAACTAGTTCCCTCCAAACCAAGCGAAGTAGCCGTCATCCGGAACATCACACCTAACATCGTAACCGTCTCCGTACCGTTTGCGCGATTCGGCATCTTCCGCGTCGGCGGCCGCGGCACTATAAGTAAGCAAATCCCCCAACTCGGCCTCGGCCTCGGAGCCTAGAATATCCTAATCAATTCCAGTACGCCTCACCTCCGGCACCCTAGCAGTCTACTCCCCCACAGCCCTGACCCCCGAGGCGCAAGCCAAAGTCGTCGAGCTAGGCGGCCGCGTCGGGTACATCATCGCGGGGGACATAGAGCACCACATCTTCCTGTCCGAGTGGGCGCGCGCATACCCCAACGCCAAACTCCTCGGGCCCAAGGGCCTGCAGGAGAAGCGCGAGAAAGTGCAGGACGACCCGCGCATCGGGCACGAACCGTTTGCTTTCACGTGGGACGCGTCGAACCGGCGCGACGCTGCCGGCGTCAGCGACGAGTTCGCAGCAGACTTCGAGGTCGAGTTTGTAGACGCGCACCCGAACAAGGAGGTCGTGCTGTTCTACAAGCCAGACCGCGCGCTAATACAAGCGGACCTGCTATTCAACCTGCCCGCCATCGAGCAGTACTCGAGGGTTCCCGAGGCGGAGAAGAGCTCTCACGGCTTGCTAAATCGGACATTCCAGGCTCTCAACAGCACGGCGGGGGAAGCAAAGGGGCTGAAGCGGTTCCTGTGGTACGCGGTTAGCAGGGCGGATCGCGCCGGCTTCAACGAGAGCGTGCGGAGGATCGCCGCGTGGGATCCCGAGATCATTGTGCCGTGCCACGGGGAGACTGTGGAGAAGGATGGCGGGGAGCTGTTCAGGAAGGTGTTCGACTGGCATCTGCAAGGTCATAAGTGAGTGAGACTGCAGCTGAATGCTGGTGGCTGCTGATCACAGGAACTGTTGGTGTGAAACATGGCGGTTGGAGCCGAGTCGCCACTCTGAGGGTATAGTATATTGGCGTATGGGGAGTATATGGGAAGTACATGGGACGAGATATGTATATTCAAGATGATACCAATGTATGTACCTATGCATGTATATCTGTTAAGAATGCGTAACCTAATACGAATCATGTTCACATATGAAGATGAATATTAGTATTAATACGGTACCTATATCCCCCCCTAAATCTCGATCACGACGCGGACATATTCGAGCTCCCGAGTGTATGGACTATCTTATGGACTATTCAAATCTCCATCACCATCCTAGCCGAGACACGATATCATCATCGTTTACACAATACTTGCCATAACGTGCTTACACAAGACCTCTGTCCCACCCACCACCCGTAGCACCAAATCTCCACCATCCCAGCGCCACTCCTCACGCGCGCGCACATATATACATATACAATACACATATACACATATATGCCTTAACATAGCACATACCTTTTACCCTCGATACACAGCTCACGTCACAACACATGTGAATCGCAAAACTCCGACCTGAGCCAGGTAGTCTAAGACAGCGCAGAGAAGAAGAAGAAGAAGAAAAAGAAGAAGCGATGGTGAAATCTCATTAGAACGACCCGAGTCATTTCCCCCGTCTCTTGTTACCGATTCCCCCCCCCCCCCTCTTCTCCCCATCGAAAATTCCATCCAGATCTTTCCTGCCCAACCTAGTGCATGCATGTACGTATATATGTTGTTCACCCCCCCGTACGACCCAAAACGCCCATGATACCCACCCAGCCCCATACTATCATAAGGAAGGATTCGAGACATTCGAGAACAGTTACCCTGCTCGGAGCGCTGTCACCGCTGCGCGCGACTCTGTGTACCTAGTCCTTGTGTGTGTGTTCGCTTCCCATTACCCGTCGTCGGCGCAGAGGAGAAGAGCACGGCTCAGCCATTACTCTCTTCCCCTTGTTTTTCTCCAAGTTATTATTTTTTTTTCTTTTTCCCCCGTTGGTCCTAGTCTTATCTGGTGATGGTGGTGATGATGATAATGATGATTGGAATTTTTCGTATTCGTCTCCGCCTATCGTAACACCGCATCAAGCGTCATAATGTAGTTTGGTCGATCTGATTCGCTTCGCTTAGCTTCACTTCACTTCGACGAGTTCTTGCTATGGTCCCTCGTCCGCTCGTGTCCGTGTTTTTCTGGACTCGAGTCGTCATCGTCTGCGGCTTCGCTGTCATATGCGTAGTCGTTGGACGTTATCTTGAATAGGTCTACCTTTGCCGGGTGGCCCTCGTTCAATACCTATTTTTTTTTAATCTCCAAGTTAGAAAATGGTTGAGACAGGGCATTGGGTGGCTTAGATATGAGGGTCAATGACGTACTGTGCAGAGTTTACATCGCTGGCCGAAATGGGCGACTTTGTTCTGGCAATTGACCGATCCCTATTTCGGCTGTGTCAATGACGACGTTATTTTTCACCAAGAGAAGATTTCGAAAACTACTGACATAATAGTTTGCACAATAGCAATGCATCTTAATTAGTTTTTTATGTTTGATATTTCAACACTCGATGAAGTTCGAGAGGCGTGTATGTGTGTGTGTGTGTGTGTGTGTGTGTGCTGAAGTGAAGAGATGTGTATATGAAGAGCTAACTCGATGGATTCTAGAGTCGTCTAGGTAAAGCACTGTCTGTCTGTATTCAATGTTCAAGTAAAGTTCAAGTTTCTGATATTTGGCATGTGAAGAAGAAGAAACTTCCGTGGAGCATAAAGCTTCTGACGTGGGAGAGAAGAAGCCCCTTCTTATAACCGGACAAACTGACCGCAAGAGATAAGGTCACATATAATAGGTCACATATAATACCTACATAGATACTAGATGTATATAATAAGTAATGCCAGTACCTGGACGTACGTAGATATTAGATACCTATGTATAGATAGCTACATAGCTAGCTACCCAGCTAGCTCAAACCCCGGTGGCTTCGATCGTGATTTGCTTCAGCTCTTCCCTGGAGAGTTCCACAACATCACATTAGCACGAGCTCCCCCCGATCCAAACGGACCCTGTCCCGTCGAAGTCAAAACCTGGGGGGGCGTAGGGGTGTAGCTCCACCATCCAGTCCTTTCCGGGTTTCTGGACGAGTCCATATTCCTCTTGCACCTTCGTACTATGTACGTACGCTGCTGGCGCGAAAGGCCCCGACAGCTCGGTACCTTATGTACGCTTGCTCGACAAGCTTGCTTTTCTATAACTACACGAGCGAGTGGTCATCGTTGTATTACTATATTTCTTTTACGCAAGGGCAGCGGGAGCAAATAGCTTACTTAGGTACGATGCGGAAGAGCTAGGCCGATAGCGCAGCCAAGCTGACCAAGCTGGCCAAGCTGGCTTAGCTGGGAAAGCTGGCTGCGTTGCATTATTAAGGATATAGGTATACGTGTATATGCCTATATATATTATATGTAGGTATGTATACCTACTTATACATATACGTAGGTGTAGATTCATGTTATAGGGACTAGACCTTTTCCCTACATGTAGCACGACCAGTTCGTCTGATCATCTTTCTTCTGGCGATAAACAACTCCTAGGAGGCAACCTGTTCGACGACTAAGCGCGAATGCCGCAAGCACCCGTCTCGTCCTGCCCGGTTTCACCACGCGAGCTCTCGGAGTATTTAGATTTAGCCCCGTATTGCGATCTCATACCGGCTCGTCGCACGATCAGCGCACGTACTCGAAGCACTTATACACACCTGGGTTATACATATACATATACACCTATACATATCTACATATACCTAGGTAGGTATGTATGCATGTAACGCAGTAAACCAGTAACCACCAACTAAAGAATTCCTGCTGGCAACTATTGCATTACTCGGTCTGGGTGGAAATTCCCCGAAATATGTTCTAGAACACGGTAGCTTGCGATTTAGGAGGAGAAGAGTCTTCGACAAACCTAACGATGATGTCAGGAGTAACATCGTACCATCAAATACAATGCCGCTCTAATATGTCGAGATAAGCTTCTAGCCCCTTATATGCCGGGACGCCCCTCCAAGTAGTCATCAGAGTAGTAGGCACAGCGGAAAACTCAGATAAGTAGACCCAATGCGGCGGTTGCAGTGCAAAAGCAGAGTGTCAACGGCTCTTCTATAAGCACATAAGGCAGGTAAGGCAGGTAGGTATGCCGTATACGTGTATACGTGTAGCTCTACATGCATTACTTACATGTGCATACATATCCGCACACGTACCTGGCCTATACCTACAAGTCCAGCGATTCCCGCGTTGCATCGTACCTATTGCAACCCATCGACCCAATATAGCATAATCTTCAAAAATCCCATGTCTCCTGTACCACGATTCTAGACCCAGATCTTGCACGGGTGTGAACGGCCGGGGCGACACAACCCATCGACATCAAGCAACGTACGAGGCTCTCCAGATCAGAAAAAACTAAATCCCATCTCCATAATACCTGCGCTATAGGTTAAGCCGAGTAGGAGGTATGTAGGTACCTACCTATGTATGTAGACAGATGATAAATTGCGAAACTAATTACACTACTACCACTACCACCACTGCCGCATACCGGCCGGATGAGGGAAATGCTTGCGCTGCCGGCTTGCGTTACCGAAGCGAAAGACAGTTTTGACTCGGTGAGACGCGTGTATGCCACCATACCACCAAAACCACCAACTATCCATCCATCCAAGCATGTGAAGCAAAGCCCAGAACACCAATCCACAAAAAAAAAAATCCATGTCTCACCCCGTCACTACCTACATACAGTGTACCTGTCAGCCGTAAGAGAAGAGAATAATAATAATAATAATAATGAAAAAGAAATATAAAATACAAAAAATAAGTTATGCGTACCCATCCCTTAACCTTCCGCTAAACCTTAAGACTTGAACCTCGTCGAGCTTAACCTCAAGATCGACGCTTCTATAGCGTGATCCTCGGAACTCGCTTCCCGTAGACTAACATCATCGTCGGGTCGAGGGGCCCCTCTGCCGCTTGAACTACCTATATGAAATACTAGACACCTACCTATCTTAGCGCACCGTTCCCGGCAGATAGTTTATAGTCCAGTCTCCCGGTGGCCTGGTTGGCGCCCGAGTCAGGAAACCAGCTAGAGCGATTTCTCGATTTCGATTTCGAGTCCGTAGATAAACATTCTCTCTAGGCACACCTCTCGGATAGGGAGCAAGGCATAGTTGGACAATTGAGAAACTCCAGTTAGTCAGTAGGCCAAAGCAAGGAATCCAGCCTTGCAAGCTTTGCACTTAGGTAGGACTAAACACGAACAACTTCGAGAGCACAGATCTAGAACACGAGCGAAAGAGGTAGTAGCACCGTCTTCCTAAGCCTTGGGATTGGGTCTATAGTCTTCGGGTCTTGTTGTGATTACGGTAGGGATTTCCTACTAGGTAGTTTCTAAGCACATCCTCCCTCTCCCTCCACAATCCTAGGCGAACATCCCGAGTCGCTTCTTCTGTCTTTCCTCCTCTTTCTTTCTTATGCTACGACAAGCCGCTCGCTATTGCTTGTCGTAACTTCAACTTCACCTAACGCAGCGCAGACTGTGGCATATAACGAGCCCCCCTTTCCGGATTCTTCTTCACCTCTAAGTACAAGTTAGAGAGTTAGTTGCTAAGGGCCCTAGCAAAATCCAAAGTCCGCAGCCGACCTGTAATCCGGAAGCTTAAGGCACAATTAAAAACTATTTCCTCGCTACTGAAGACATTCTCAAAAATGAGGTAGAAAGGAAAATGAAATATGCTGGCCAGATAGACGAGACAAACCCCCGGCCGCATATATGAATTCGCATGCTTATCCAGTATCCCCTGGTTCTACACGGTCTGGGCCGAGCCGAAACCCCAAATGATCAGATGAGAGCTAGGCATGGCTTACGAGCAGGCATTTCGCCTGCTTTCAGGTCTTGATTAATAAGTATAGTACGGAAGTAGAGATCAAGGCGCGAGCATCTCAGACTTCCGGTTGTTTTTCCAGAAGTCGAGAGCCGCGACTACGTCGCCGCCGGCTTCATCTTCGTAGGCGAACAGTATCTAGATAGGGATTAATAATTTCGTACCTCATTAAACTCATCGAGTTGTAACTCACCTCATGTGTACTACTGTGTAGCATCCGGATGTTCTTATGCGGGACGATATGGACCGCTCCACTTTCAATGTTCCTGAGCTCAATGAAATTTGGCTCGAACGCCAAGATCCACGGGTAAGATAGCGCGAATGCTTGTGGCGTTCCCTCCCAATCAATACGCCATTCCGGTCTCGCTCTCCAACCGTTTCGGTTGACGAAAAACGAGAACTCAGAGTAGTTGAGAAGGAATTCTCCGTTGAGCCGTTCTATATGGATCGGTCTCACACCTTCCTTCCTTGCGACGAAGTCCAGCGACGTATCGGCCTGGTCTAGTAGCGACTGCGTTTCAAGCGTTTCGAGAGAGACTACTTCAAACCCTCTTGCGCATGCCACGCAGAGCTTGCTCTTTAGGAAGTGAACTGAAGACGATTCAGTCGGAATATAAAACTCCTTAAACGCCTTCAATTCGTCCTGACCGGCGTTAAACATCTTACCGAACCCTTTCTGCTTCTTGCCCTTACTCATCGAGTCATTTGGTTCGTACACCTTGATCGTAGTCGAAAGTGCACTAGACTTGACGCAACAGACCAGATGCCTACCTAGACAGATACCTGTTTTGAAAAAATTACAGTTGCTTTGAATCTTCTTAGGCCTCTTCGCAAGTGCTGGCTCGTTCGGATCCAATGCTGCGAGTGAGTATGACGATAGTGTCTTGTTCGATAAGACTAATAAGAGACCATACTCTTCCAACACATCAACCTGCGTGACGTGCTGCGCTTCGATGACGCGCTTGGGCACCTGGTCTTTAGCCTTACGATCAGACACGTAGATGCCATGATCAGTGCCGATAATTAGTTTACGACCACCATCTGTTAGTCTAGTTAGCAAAGGTCAAGCATCCAGCGTATCGTACACTCCTTACCGTAAGGTGTCACAGCGTTAACAAGGTTGCCAGTTTGGAAGAAGTTAGAAGAGAGGGTGTTAACGTTGAAGAAGTCGGCTCGTGCTCGGAGACGCTGTTGAGCTGAGTCGATGAACTCGAGCCACTTTTTCCTGGCTGTCTGATTCGATGCGTACAAAACTTGCTCGTAGTAATTTTTGCCTAGATGTCGAAATGTGATAGGCCAACCTTCCGTAGCCTTCTTATCGGAATCTTTGCCGCGGAAAGGCAAATTCGAGGACGCTCGTTTTATTCCTGCCTGAGGAATGACTTCGTCCATTTCTTTAATGGCGAGTAGCTCCAGCGGGATTGGCTAGATAGTTAAGATTAGCCACTAAATTCTGACATGGAGATCGTCAATTACTTACTCTCCTATATGCTTTCACTTCTTCGCCCTTGCCAACTTGCTTTATCCGCACCAGGAGAACAGCATGGTCGAACAGGAACGCCGTGATATCCGTAGGATCTGTAGGTGACTTTTTGAACTGGGTCTTAAATACTAGTTCGCGGCCGTCTTCTGTCAACTTAAGGTCGACACGATCAGCGGGGCGGAACTTCAGTTGCTCGTGTAGGCGGCGTAGGTTAAACCGATTTTCAGCTTTACCGGACTCGGCATTGACTCTGCTCAGCAAGTCACGAATCGTAACAAGAACTTTCGGGATATCCTCCTTGTCGGGGTTGCCATCCTCCGTATATTTCAAGACGTTCTCGAGGAGCAGGGGATAACGAGCAAGACGTGTTGTGGGTTTGGTCAAGTAACCGTTCAATTCCAACTTCCTCGACTCTTTTCTCCTTTCAATCTCCTCGACGAATTTAGCAAAATAGGGGTTGCTCGATCGCTCGTTTTCGAACTCAAATTTGGCCTCAAGTTGCTTCGAACCGTACAAGATGAATGGCTCAAACTGAGGAACAATTTCCAGGAAGATATCACCGAGGTTCTTGACTACAGGGTTCTTTTGTTGCCTCTCTGTCAAGGCCTTGGCAAACCTTGAACTAACATTGTGAATGCTAGGATGATCGATAATGTTGCTGAAAATATTTTGCACAACCTTGTCCCTCCTTGGAGCAGGAATAGGCGAGCCCTTCGAGCGCAAAGGCAAAATCCAGAAATCTCTGAGATATTCGAGATCTTTGACGAAGTCTCTTTCGGTATAACAAATTTCGGAAATAACTTCTTGCCTCTTCTTCTCCCTGTCACCAACACTCTCGGCGACCTCCTTGGGAACAGTATTGATCCAGAGCTTCTGTTCGTCTGTCTGGTCCGCATCGTCGTTGATAGTAGCGTCCTGGTCTTTCCTAAGGCCAACCTGTGGCTTGAGGTTAAGTCGAGACACCTGTTCTAATCTTCGTGGGCAGGCGATCGAATAGCAGAGCTGGTCCCTTGTGCATGTCGGAGAATAACACTCGGATAGTAATACGAATACACCATTGACCGGGTGCTTCTCTTCCGGTTCATCCATAAGAGTCTCCCTAAATTGATACATCTCAGACGATGAGTCTCGTAATCGGTGCTCGTAAGTAACATCGTGGAAAAACTTCTGCGCATCAAGAGCTCGACCAAGAAGCAACGCTAGGTTCCTATCTGTAGTTCTAATGATATATGATAGAACATCGACGGCCTCGGAACCGCTAAAAGCATTCTTGTAAGTCAACTCGTTCTTCGTCCGGTCGCCCGTGATTATCTTTTGGCGGAAACATTCGGCGACTCTCGAGAGAAGGGCAGGGTAAACCAACGGCGGCCGGATCTTGGCGGTAGGAGGTCGTTCACCCTCAATTGACTTCGATAGGGATGGTCGGTGAACTAGCTGCTGTCGAGCTTGTTCGGAAGTCTCAGGGACAATGGTACTAGCCATTGACATGGTGCGACTGTGATCTCCAGCAACAGTCGAAGATGCCATGCTCATTGTCCTTGTTGCAGTACCCGGCGCAGATGCGTATCCATTGAACGCAGGGTATCCACCCGCATTCCCATTCACCGCGGGAGACTCGTTCGAAGGTGCCCTCATACGGTTGGGAATCACTCGGCCGCTCATCATCTGATGAGCATCACGATCGGGAGGATAGCCAGTCATCGACATCGATCGATCGTCGTGGCGCTCGGGGACTACTCGACCTTGTGCGGTCGTGCGAGACGACATTGTAGTCTGCGGAGGAGTCCGTAAATTATTCTGTTGGTTCTGATAGGGGCCGGGCGGCGACTGATATGCCGGCTGCCGTGGCATGCTGGCGAGAGACTGAGATCTATACGGGTCGTCACGCATAGCAGGGGCAGATCCGGGTGCTCCCTGATACATTCGGGGAGCTGGGTTTCGCGGAGGATATCCTGACTGGGGGGCAGGTCCCCTCGAGTCGAATCGAGGCTGTCCTTGGGGCGGAGGGCCAGGATAAGGCCTTTGATTCGGTCCTGGAGGCGGCAGTCTTCCATACTGCCCTGGCATCGGGGGATGACCTCCAGAAGGGTTTCGCTGACTTTGATAGTAACCATTGGCCATACTCGTATCCATAGTCCTAGTTCGGCCAGTGTCTTCATAGCCCCTTTGCTGTTGGGGTCGTGGAGGAGGCCGTCGCTGCATATCATTCTGCATGCTCGACACGGACGACATAGTCTGGGTTCTACCCTCTTGCGGCTGCGCGTTCGGCGTGTAGCCTTGCGACGACGAGGTCATAGTCCCGGCTCGTCCTGGAGGGGGGGCGGAACCGAAAATGTTGGAGAATGCGGCATCTCGCTGATTATTCGAGGCCGGGCCATATCGCCGTTGGTCGTATGTGTAATCAGCCATTCTCGTAGTCCTAAAAAGGGTGAGGTTACGTAGTCAGCAACAGATTCGTCGCCCAAGGGTATAATAATGGTAATAAAAAACATCAAATTGTACGGCGGTGCCGGTAAGGTTGTACAAACACCACTTTGCATACGCAGGTGCAGCTTCGTATCAATACAAGATCTAGGGGTGTGTGGCGTCACGTCACTTACTCTTACAAAAGCCTAGGCGGCCGGGAGCCTAGACAAGAGACTGGGATAGTCCGCAGATGAAGATAAAGGGGTGATTGCCGACACTGACGACGGACTCACCGCCGTGGGTGGACGGCCGTGATGTGCGAGCGATATCCTACTCTCTTTAAACTGTCCAGTCTTTTCGTTCTTCCAGAGGTTTTTTTTTTTCCTTTCCCCCTTTCGTCTTTCGCCTAAAAATGTACAGGCTCCCGCTAAGTTAATAATTGGATGCAAATCGCTAGTGGAACGGGATAACAAGTGATTTGGAGGGGAGCGATGAGCAAGACGTCGGCATCGAATCGAATAGGTGGGTTTTAGGGACAGGAAGGGAGAGGTCGGGTTAGGTAGGATTTGAATGGGCGCTGTACGGTAATCTGTACAATCTGTACATTGATTGATATGATCAAGGATCAGAAGAGAGAGCAAGGACAATTGGTGTCTGCTTCAAACTGCTAAGAACTGGACCCCGGCACCTGGGCAGGACTAACAATAGGCCCGGGTTATCATCGGCTCGGAATTTGTTAGGTAAGGAGTTACAAACTACATGTACATATCATCTTACCTCATAGGGTCGGTCGGTCGGTCACAAGCGTTACTTGCAGCCGTCAATTAAGATCCATAGGGTAGTGATTACCTTTTATAGGAGCGTTGAGCATGGCCAGAAGAAAAAAAAAAAAAAAAAAAGGGAAAAGAAAGAAAGAGCTATCTTACGTGTTCGCGACTATAGAAGGTGCAATAACGTGTACGTCTTTAAGTTTTATCAAATTATAGTTCAACGGGAATAGAAAAAACAGATCAATTGGCTACGAACTGTATTACAATATGTACTAACGGAAAGTGAATCTACAGGCTGCATATCAACATATGCACTGGTTGCAGCCAGATGACGACTTCAACATTTTGCTGCAACAGGAGGGACGCCACGGACCATCTTCCCCTGCGCATTCGAATGAACGAATACGACAGCCCCGTAAACTCGTCTTAATTATATTGACTCGACTCGACTCGAATCTTAATTTGAGCCATTGAATCTGTTTTGGGACTCATCCATAAAAAAGCGAAAAATTAAAAAGTAGGACCGTGGCTACAGGTATCGTTAGTAGGTTACCTAGTAGGTGTCAAAGCTTTAGGTAGTTCTGAGCTAAAGAGACATACATGAGGTACCTAGCTCATGCATAATTTACATACTGGATGATGCGTAACAAATCCGCGTATATAAATACCTATTTATGGGGTAATCATCAGCAGGTGAGCATTCATTGGTTCATTCAGGTAACATAGAACCGTTAGGTAATTAAACAATCACGTGGTCCCGGGTCAGTAAGGTTGTTCGAAAGCCGCGTTTGGTTCAAGGCAAGTTTAGAATTCAGCTGGTTTTAGCTTCATAACTTTATCGAGGCTCGACAGGTTCGGCAACGACAACTCTCTATATTCCTCGAGCCCGGTTATTTTCTCTTCCCCCAACCCGTTTGTACACGTTTAAGAATTATATCCATCATGGCCGAATCAGAGATCGCGCCTAAGTTTGCCCCCTTCTTCGGCATGGTAAGCTCGAGATTCCATCAGTTCCGTTAATTTGAAGCTCCCTTAATTACCATACTGACAGCATCATCGACAATGTAGGCCGGTATTGCGTCCGCCATGATCTTCGGATGTACGATCCCCTAATAGCGCATTACCCCTCGATGATACCCGTGTGCTAAGACAATAATAATATAGGCATTGGGGCAGCATACGGAACAGCAAAGTCGGGAATCGGTATCGCAGGCGTGGGTACCTTCAGGCCAGATTTGATCATGAAGGTTTGTCAAAGCTTAGTCCGGCTCATTCCGCGCTGGTCTCCTTTGCCGTAGCAACCGACCTTCTAATATGATGACCGTTGTAGTGTCTGATTCCCGTTGTCATGTCCGGAATTATCGCAGTTTATTCGCTTGTCATCGCCGTCCTAATCGCCGGAGACATGGACCCACCGTCACGACAGAGCTACAGCTTATTTACGTATGTCCCGAAGACCATGTTTGGACGAATAGGAAAGCTCGGATGAAACTAATATCTAAAATAGGGGCTTCATGCATCTAGGATGTGGACTCTCGGTCGGATTCACGGGCCTGGCTGCTGGATACTGCATCGGGATTGTTGGTGACAAGGGGGTCCGCGCGTACATGGAGCAGTCGAGAATATTTGTTGGCATGGTTCTGATCCTCATTTTCGGTGAGGTTCTGGGACTCTATGGGTAAGTTCAAACCTCTACGGCATGACAAAATATCCCTACTCACCGCACATAGTCTCATCGTGGCCCTTATTCTCAACACCAAGAGCAAGGGCTAAGTTATTCGAACTCGAGCGATACCATATTTCATGATGGTCACCAAGTGTTCACATAAAGCATCAACAAACAGTCTGTAAGGACAATGTGTGTAATCAGTAGCTACATGGTCAATGGCGTTTTACGGGTATGTAAAACTAAGGGTAACCGTTAGAATCGTTGACGGCTGGCAGGTCAATATTTGGTCAGGTGTACGACTAAGGCCTCCATTGATGAATAAGATATTTTGAACTATAAGCTAGAGGTTCATCATAAGCAAGGTTATTCGAATTCGTGTTAAATTGATGCTAAATAGGAGTTGGCTAGATACTGCAAAGCCCAAAGGAATGCGGAAAGAAATATACAATCCAATCCATCTCCTCGCGACATATCTCATGACCTCATCCATTCATCCATATGGACATCCCGAATGTTGAAACCCAATCAGAAAAAATATGCCTCCTGAACCTATCTAGCATGCCTAATCGACGCCAAAACAGTAGCGCCGCCCAAATGCGTGTGATAAAGAGACGAAACAAAATAAAGTGCCAAAAGGAACGGAAAGAAGTGTAACGCGGCCACTGCCAACCAGTCCTAGCTACGGTTTCCTCTCCAGGGGAGATAGAAAGCCCAAGATCGAAATTTCTATTGCGACGGAAATAATTCCCGCGTGATAAGTCCAACAGATTATTCATCGACCGAAGCGGCGAGCGAGTCTCCCACGGCTCTCGATGTTGGTGCGGAAGCTGTTCCAACCTCGCTCACGTTCCTCAATACCTCTCGTCTGACCTAATAGTTTAAAAACGTTAGCACTCAGCTTCGATATCGTGTTGACCAAGATATCCATGCGCCTCGTCAGCCAAGGTTTCCATCACGTACGAAAATATGTCACCAAAGCTGAAAGTTTGGAGGAAAAAAAAAGAAAAAAAACCTACCCAGAAACCAATCCCAGTGTCTATCCTCGCGAATTAAAACATCATCTCCATTCTGTCTTGCTAGTCTCTCGCTTCTCGCTCTCGCAGCCGCTTCCTCTCCAACCAGGTACGGATCTTCGAGAGGTCGCGCTTTATAGGGGTCAGTATCGTCGGCCGCAGCCACGGCGTTCATGCGTTGGACCGCCGTCCGCAGGGCGCTTTCGACTCCTCCCCAGTGAGATCCATTAGCAGCGGATACGCGACGGTGGGCAACCCTTTGATAGTGGCGCGCTGTCGGGTTGCTGCTCATCGAGGACCAGCTCGGGACTTGGAAATGACCGAGGTGTGGTACCTCGCTACGGCGGCGCGGAGAAGGTATCCGTGGTAAGCCCGCTCCCGGCGCAAATGTTGAGGTCATGGGAGTTGGCGTTGGGGATGGGTTTAGCATAGACGTATACCGTGGCGGCGATGCCAACGGCGAGCCTCGCGGCTCCGGTGGTGTGTACTCGGGTACATTTTCGTTTGTAGGTATCGTCGAGTGATATGAAGGCGCTTCGGACACTAGAACAAATCTCTTTGTTAGCTCTTCCTACCATACGTTTAATATCGGCGAAAGAAGTGCCTCACTATAAGAGGGGGCGGCTGAACGAATAGAAGCCGTCTCAAAATCCTCGGGACTGAGAATTTCCAACCGGGATGGCCCGTTATGGATAACTGTTTCGGTTGCCATCGTGTAGATTAGAAATATAAGTCTCGCAAGCGAAGGTGACGGAGTGGTGAGTATTAGGGAGGCAGATTCGGTGAGAGCACTTCGCACATCTGGTTGAATAGCTCCTTTATTATTCAGGCCTAACACTCAATGTGGGAGCCAAAATATTAAAATTAGATGAATCAGAAAACGGCGACCATTAAATTAAGTCAGATAACAACTTGAGACAAGATAACTTTCTCCGGATGGTTAGACTAGGAATGACAGCTGGACTTGAACAAAAGACCAATAGGTAAGGGTTCACAATGAGGAAGACTAGTCACGACGAAAGCGAGCACACCACCACTCAGCTTCCTTCTCCAGGTACGTAAGTAGACAGGTAGGGTTCAAGCTAGAGGAAGCTTGAAGAAATAGATGAAGCGTGGTGTGAGATGTGTTATAGGGTGTGCTATGAGATGTATGCTGTGTATGCACACGTGAGAGTTGCAGAGAAGAACTGCTATGATAGGGATGGTATGGAGGGACAAGAACGGGAACAGAGTGAGACACACAACCATCCACCCACCATCCACCCACCACCCACCACGATGGATGGGGTTTACATATGCAAGATTCTACTGGCCCCGTTCCGTCTTACTCTTGGTCTCGCTGCTGTGCTACCTTCTATCCAGGGCCGAGCTGCGTCACGAATAAGCAGCCCGTGGAACCTGTGAGCCCTGGTTATGTTTCTCTGTACAGTAGTACTAAGAGAGGTAGTTCGAGGAGTTCGTAAAGAGGATACGATCAATGGAGATATTTTAGATATCTACACAAGTAATTTGCCGATAATCGAGGTTATCGAGAATCCATCCCATGCGAGTGCTTGGGGGGGGAGGGGGGGGAATAAGTTAGGTTAGGTACATGTCTCTAGGTACATATATGTAAGTTGGACAACGGAAAGGAACAAGAGCCCGATATTACGACTACCTACAGTACACAAGAATTACGACAGTTCAGAAGTATCCACTATACCTAATTAGGTAGACCACTATTCATCTGATTGGCTATACCTTATCTTATCATCCCCATGCCACCCCGGTCACAAGCAATGATTGGGTGAGGGGTATTGTGACCGAAAGCTAAACGGAGTCTTAGAACAGTTAAGACTATCATATTATCTTGACCGCAACGAGAGAAGTCTCCTTCCCAGAGCAAGACCAGCGGGGTCTATCCGGCGTAGATTGTCACGATGTAGCGGGGTATTTGCCTAACCTAGGTAAGTAGGGCTCTAAGACAGGGGTATAAACATCACTGTCACTTGAACAATAATACCGCATTTCTATTCAAGGCTGAGAATGACGATATCGTACGGGCCCGTGAGAATGTTTTCATTTACTGAACAGTAACATCAGTTGATCACCAATAAATTTTGGTTACCTATCTGTTTATAACCGTACAGTATGTAGTCTGGTAGTTTAAGGCTATGTATAATATTATCCACTTCTGAGAATTGACGACTCGGAGCTTTGGTGTTCCTGGCTAGATCTTCGCCTGCATATCCTAGCGATGCACAACGGCCCGCCTAGAAACCTGCTCGGGCATGATTGGGAAGGGAACCGAGACAGCTCAGCAAATTCGTGATTATCATTCTAGGTATACGAGATATCAGTACAAATCAACAGCAGAAGATTGAACAAGACACATATCTCTTCAGCTGTCTAATGTCAAAACACGAGCCTTATAATACTTGGCCATATACTTGGCTATATACTTGGCCACGTAACCTAACCGTTTCATTATAGGTAAACCCGGATGTATAGCCTACCGATGGAGGTATACACCCATCATATGCACAAGAAACAAGAAAGTAAGCGGAATATGGGCTTTATGAGGAACCACGTCTTATGGCTATTACATCAGGTAAAGCCGGAGTGTCACCATTCTTATTATACTATTACGTCGTTGCTATTCATTCCTTTCTAAATCTGCACACCGAATGTTTAACTCTTAGAATTGAGAGGCTGATAATGGATTTCCCATGTCTCCGGTAAAAGATTCAGTTGTCTTCGTTGCGAAGCCGAGTTATGCCGTGGTAGTTTAATCCGTACTACTACTACCGTTAGGGTGGCGGGTCTAGACTATTACATATATCAAGACGAGCCGAACCATACGTCAAATACATACATGTAACCTAGCGAGATTCCGTTTTTTTTCTACGTTCCTAAATACACGTACGTACTTAACAACTCCCTCGGCTCGGCAGTAACCCTAAGACTACTTACCTATATGCATCTATTGGTGGTCGCCAATCCGCCCCAGATCCTACCCGGAGTCAAGGTCCTTATCTAGCAATCAATCATCTGCAGCCCTCGCGTGAGACTTAATTCGCAACCCTTAGAGATTCGAAGCTCTTAATCGAGTGCAGGTGACACTACTTCACTACAACCTTGAAAGACACCATTTGCTAGACAAGTCGAAATAGTGTTGAATCTCCAAGCAAATATTTTCAACAGGAGTAATTCCAGGAGTAATTCTCAGTTTCGCTATTACACCAGCCTCAACACGGTCAATGACTCTGTTACGCTATACCGCCCAAGACTCTACTTGTTCATAAGGCAAAAAGATCCGCCTGCATTCTTACCCAGTAACCCTAACCGTTGTCCCATAAACTATTCGTACAGATCCTACGTCGTCGCCCCTTTGCCATTCGTTATATGTCGTGCCTGGAATCCACTAACCTATACCTATCTCATCCGAAAATCAGCCCCCAGGTTCCCTAAAAGCCCCGTTCCCACCAATCCTAATGCATGCCTATGTATATGAACAGTACCAAGTAGATAGTAGCTTTTAGAGAATAGCAGCATAGTGAGGTAAAAACTACCATAGTCGTCGCTGATAGTATACTCGTTCCTGGCCTTCCGACAACCGTCGTATCTCCTCTTTAATCTTCTGCCTCCTCTCAGCTCTGCTGACTGGCTTCTCCTCGAGCTTCTTCTTGGGTGTAGGTTCCTCCACAGCGTCCGGCGTTCCCGCAAATGCCCCAGCAACATCGTCTTTCTCCGACGCAGCCGACTCTTCCCACTCTGATTTCTCTAGCCCCTCCTCCGGCACGGTAGGACGCACAACGACAAAATCTTCCTCATCTGCCCCATGTTTCTTACGGCGGTGCCGCAGTCGCGAATCGCTTATCATGTCCTCGAGCTGGCTAGGTGAGTCGCGGTGTTCTGGGAAGTAGACTTTGGGGCTCGGTCGAGGTATTCGGTTGGGTTTGATAGCTGCTCGTAGGTCGCGCAGTGTTCGCTGCTGAATTGCATAGCCGCTGAGGAACAATGCTGCCGTGAACAAGACAACTAGAAGAAGAAGAAAACGCAGATCATTGTCAGTTTGACCGTTGCAACTATTTTAGGCTGTTTGCCCGTTTTGGAGGGGCTCATCCATACCAATTCCCGACGAAATTAAAACCGAGACTTGCGACGATGTCAAAAGCATTCTTGTTCGAAATTGTAAAAGATCGATAGTTATATAGTATATAGGTACCTAAATATATAAATTCGGAAATACAGAGCTAGGTGAAGATAGCAGTTTATGAAGCGATATACAATAAGTTAAACGCTTCCACAGTGTTGACTAAGAACCACCTTTTGAGAACCGGTTTTCCTGTTTTGTCTCGAATCTCGCGTTTCCCGGGCAACGCACATCAGCCCTCTCGGCCGGTGTGCCGGCTTGGCGATCCGATCCCGATCCCGATCGCAGATCATATGGTATCACCCTTGCGACGAACTGTTTAAATACGCCGGGTATGGTGACGATTAGGTATGTATTGTTTATCAGGTAGGAGTTTGATAAATTGTATTTTGTAACTATTTCATACTTGATGCATCCTACGGACCTACATACTACTATGCCAGCTCCCTTTTTCACATATGAATTTGACAATCACAACCGTAAGCATATGTCCATACTGTCAGTCTCCTAAAAAATAAAACAAATCTATTCTGAATGAGGTACACCGATCCAAGTCAAGTTTTTACATCTCTTATTTTCCTTCGTATTGATTTTTATACAAGGGGGTTGCACCTAATACGGTCTGTCAAACTTCGGCAAGACATTGGATTCGCCGAGGCTACGCTCTTCGCGTACTCCGTTAGACAACAGCTCGGCCATGGCTGACTTACTACTTAGTATAGCGTCGAGTGCAACTTTACATATGCCGACTATCCGATTTCCGGTAACATTATATTATCAGGTAGACAGTCATCATTGGTAGGTGCGCGAGAGAGATATGCGTTGATTGATGCCATCTAATCGGAACTGGCAAGTCGCATTGTAGTCTTCTGAAGCTGGAACTCTTCATTGCATAACGAAGAATCCGAATTCAACACCGAGACACTCCTACGAGGTACCATAAAGTGGCCCAGCACGGCAGCACGCATATTGCTCAAGTCTAAACCTCCAACCTCTTCTAAGCGGAATACAGCAAGTCTGCCGCGCTTCGGTCCAAACGTACTGTCTACCTTGTGCACCATATCTCCTTCCGAAATACAGTCCATAGCAATTTCTACTCCCTCACCACCTGTAGCGGTGCGCACTTTCTTGGGCTAGTTTGCATCTCAGTAGTTAACGAGTACGTCGTAGTTATATGGCTTCTACTTCAGGAAAGCGCCTCTAGAGGTGCTAGCGGCACTGAGTAGGCGAATAGGCTGCCTAGTCGTCTGCTCAACCAGATTAATCACCTGTGCCAAATATATGCCAAGGGAATTACTCGAGCTATATTAGGATGTTGACCGGACCATATTCTGGCTTGCGGTCGTCGAAGACGTCTCCCTTTCCTAAGTCTGTCCCGAAAGGACCAGAGATCCTCAGGCGACTAAAATAGTCGGAGCTGCGGTTAGGCCGTTTACGGTAATTGAAGAAGCCTGTTGAAGACTGAGTTGGTCTAGTACCCTCCAGACTAGGTCATATTCGATAGCCACGTTCGTTAGGTTGAACGCTACTAGGCCCACGCGAACCGGGGATGGACGTGGGAATATCTTCGAGTTGGACAACCCTATCTCGAGGATAGAGCACAAGAGCCTCCGTATTTCTTCTCGCTCAAAGCTTCTCTCATAAGAATGACGCTATAATTTCGTCCTTGAGAATAGTAGTGAGGCGCATGGTAAAAAAAACGACATTAAATGAGCATACCGTAATCTGGGAAAATCTGACAAATGACAACTAAAATTGTCTCTTCATTATACCAGATACCGAATGTGTTAAAATATCTTAACGGCGGTAATCTAATGAGTTTACGCCTTGAAGATCTTGAACGTCCTCAGCGTTTCAGGGGAGCTACGCTTTATGGGATCGTGGCTCATACAAGACTAGCAGGGACCTTACACACCATCATAAAGATATTGCATGCTGATCAATGGGCCATCGTAGGGAGTCTCATCCATAACGCTTCGAATGTAAGTGTCTATTGGACATCAGTAACAATCTTATAAAGGTGGAACCAACATCTTCCCAATTAAAGACCCTCCCGGTGCTCTGATTGGTTTGGAAATATAAGAGTTCGTGCACACGGAGTCCCTTGCATCGTCAACCTAGAGTGGTAAGTTATATGAGATCTCTAGAGCCGAACATCATGTTTGCCAGTACTCGGCATTTCCGAAGCAGATGATCAATTGGAAGGATGCTATCTTGTTTGAGTAGCCAAATCCTCGACGTAGGTACATAGAAATTCGGAGATTGGCGTACTCCCAACGCCCCTGTGCAGATTCCAATTTATGATATTGTCAACGCGTCGAATACAACAACCCCCTTTTAAATCCGCCTAAAACCTAGCCAAATTAGGATATTCCCATGATTATAGTACATTTGCGATGCTTTTTAGCTTCCCTCTCGCTTGAGCCCCCAAGTCATACAGCATTGTACTGGACATCTATCCGCGTATCCTTCACGATTATTAATTTGCGGCTCGAGGAATCGTCGGAGTCGCTATTGTTATCCCGCTCGTCCGGGCGCGACTGGGGTCCTGCTTGGCAAGTTGTTACCAGCGAACCACCTCGACTTGACCGCCTCATGGTTTCGAGCCGTATGGGGTGGGCTACAGCCTCAGGGGCTGCGGGGAGTGTTTGCCTGCCGTTAAAAACGTCGAAAGTAGAACCTCTATTAGTTTGACGCTTGTAGGTCGGATTATTGCTGCTTGAGCTGAGCCCGAAGCCGTATTTTGTGAGAAGCGGTCGTAGCGGCGGGAGAGAGCCCGCGATAATACCAATGCCGCACTCAACAACGGACCAAACCATTAAGATGCACCCCTTATCTACACAGTTGTTAGTTGTTAATGTATAAGTATCGGACGCGTAAAGACATTAAATGTAGCATACAGAGACCATCGTAGGGGGTTGCTCCAACATGTACATACGTGCGTACATATGGTAATCGAACGCAGGTGCATATACTGGCCCTGTAGTATAGAATACGAGTTAGTATGGTTCTATGATAATGTAGGACGGCTCTCAGAAGATCAGAGGATAGGACGGCATACAAAACACCAAGAGATAGAACAAATATAAGCGATGTCTTGACTCTTGCCTTCATATTCAAGTTCCACAGAAGAAGCGCAGGGAGAATCGCACATAGCCAGTCAGTTATGATGGCGATCGTCGCAATAGTGAGAGACATCTTGCGAACTGTTTCAAGCCCGCTACAGTCGCCAGCTTCTCCGGTCCAGCTGACGCTAATGGGCTTGCATTGACCTATCACGGTCCCAAAACCTATGGCTGACCCGATGATGCCAATAATTATAGTAAACCATATAGGAATAACGTAGTGCTTGTCTAAAGTGATTCGTAGGAGAGCGGCGCAAATACTGGTCTTGATAAATGGAAGAGACACCATATAGGCTGCCTCATAGACGAATGTCCCTAGAAGGTAGAATACTGGTTAGTTCCCCAGCTGCGATGCTATATTTTAATATAACTGGAAGTATTAGGGGCTTACACTTCAGCCCGTTCTTCTTTATTTGACCCGTTAGGTCTACTTTAGAAAGGTCATCGTCTTTCGCGCCCCAACCTGACAAGCAGCCCATAACAACCACAACGCAGCAGAAAATATAGATAACCTGTAACAAAACAATTACACTATTAGCCAGCGTTGAGATCCTCAGCATTGTCTTTAAAGACTAGTCAGAAACTTACGAGGCTTATCACCGTCAAGTAGTCGTCGCAGCCGATAGCCCCTTTCTTAACTCTGATCCAGATTCGCAAGGAGACGATGATGAGAGAGAGTGCACCTAGGATTATGGTAGCGGCTAGCGTTCCAGAACCGAGTCCTGGCGAAAGATAGATCGGATCGGAATCTGCCATGGTGTCTTTAATTCTAATCCCAAGGCGTTGAAGCTGACGAAATCCACAACCCTAAGAGGCGGGCTGGAGATCCTCTATATAGGAATAGTTCAATACCCCAATCTCGACCAAATATTATGAATGGACCTGTTATTGCGCATGTTTTAGTTGATACAATTGTTCTTCTCTTGGAATATAGCAACTACGAATAGGTAGCCATGATAACCCTGCTTACATTCGGTTATGAATTTTTTTGCTTGCCGAAAAAGACCACGCTTGAGCAGTCTTCTCGGCCTATAAGGAGCGAGAACGATGGTATCCAGATCCAGTTCTGCGGAATCGAGTGTAGTTCGTCACGTAAGCATAAAGTTTTTAATTATCAAAAATGAGCGTTGAAGAAATCACAATGACTTCAGAGGTCTCAAGTTTAAGCATGAGACGGTAGACATATGTTATGTTACCATTGTAACAGCCGCATGGGCTCGGATCCTAGTCCCCGAGCTTGGATATGCCAGTTTGTACAAATTGTCGTCGATACCGATTAGGGTTAACCGGTATGGGGCCTGTTGGTTCGAGGAAGCTCTACTATAGCCCTAGTATCTCTTGTTTGCGTATCCGAATAGGACGCCGGATGGGGCATCCGGTCCCGGGACAGAGGTTGCAACATGGTTCAGGTTGCTACCTGTGGTTAGCCTCCCTCCGAAGCGAGATCAAAGCACCGGTCCGCTGTCTACTATTTAGACATCAACCCCGCGATCAGATTCCAACACGCCCAGGGATAATACATGTCTAGGATAGGGTAAGAGGGATTCCCTAAGTTAGGTCGACATTACCTATATGATACGCACTGACCCGAATGCAAGGGAAGCGAGAGGAATGTGGAATATTGATCAAGCGAATTTAGTTCGGAAGATTAACTGGCATCTGAAATCCAAGTAGTCCTAATTGGTACTGAATCTTATCCGATAGAGTGGTGAGTGGACGACGGATGTCGATCCGGATGAGAGTTATAGCCCTGTGGTTGGAGTTCTACTATATGAAGAGCGACTAGATTGACCCTAATTATTTCCTCTAGATATCATGGTAATCGCTAAGCGATAATAGCCACTCCAATCGAAGTTGTTATGGAACGCTAGATATTCTATCCCATTCTTATATCTCGCGAGAGCGACATTCTTTGGAGTATAGGGGTAGTACTAGTGTTTGGCCGTGATCAAGTCTGTGGCCTATCATGTAACTCCGCTCCTTGTTGATATATGAAGGGGGCCTTGACCAATGTTATCCTCCACCAATCAACACATACAAACAGACATAGAAGATATCAAAGTTTCCAACGACCTATGCAACACCTACAGGAGTTTGCAAGTATTTCCTTACATGAAAGTTTCTTGCTCCAAAAAGACTATAGTCTACGCCACGGGTATGCAAGAACTCAAATGACCCTACTCTAGAAGCAAGGCATAAGTCGATTTGCCATCCTGTGAAACATCGAGCAATATAACGTGATCCGGTTCCCATTCTCTAAGCCTCTTCCGTGCCCCAACGACAAATTTTCATGCTGCCCTATTAGCGGAGCCCCTTGGCACGGGAATGAAAATGAAAAAGATTTTTTTGAGTATCGATTCTGTGGATATAAGAGGGCTGGGCATGTTTGTGAGAGCTCCACATGGATGTTGTAACACAATGTTAAAGAGTATACGATAGATCTGGGCCCGAGGCCCATCTATATGAAATACTAATCTGTAAGGCCATCGGATCTCGATCGACGAGTACGTAATATCAGTCAAAGCGTTCGGTGGAAGGGCTTTGTACTAGGTTACGGGGTTATACTATGGATAATTTCCTTGCCAGTACATGGAGGATGATTTGGTAGGGAAAACTCTACGAACATATCTTCTTACAAATAGCTTATGATAGAATTGAGCTAACTAATTTGTTTGTAATACTTATTATCATATTAATATTAGCATGTGTGGTTCTATGACGACGTAAATAAGTTGGCGATGTAGGAGAGGAAAAGAATGAAACCGAGCTACGTCTAGTTGACTTGTCCTTGGAGTTTTCAAGTAGCACGATCATTGCTACTTCATATGAAGGATGTATTTTGGATTTAATTATAAGCAATTATCCAATTATACTGTAAGCCTCTTGCCTAGCAAACTAGGTGTTTGAGCTCGATAGAATGGTGAAATAAAGGAAATAATCTCTGGTATTGGGTAGGTGATGGTATGAGCTATTGAACTTCTTGAATCCGGCATAGGATAGGGAGAGATGATTCCGTGTTGCTGTCTCTTGACAAAAAATAATTTTCCTTTTCTTAAACCGTCCCCTTCCTCCTTAACCCCGTTTTTATGAGAAAATATTATTAGATAATGCCGCTTCGTCTTTCTGTCTTATGATATGATATGGAACTTTTTATTAGCGAGACTCTTTAGGAAGCTTAGGTCCTACGAAGATTCGTGCGGGAAGGCTGACATTGCCGTATAATGTCTACAATTTCAACTTGTCTGCTGAGCTGTTTTTCATTCCCAAAGGCCAACAAGCTTACAAGAGTACTTACCTCCTAAGGTAGTAGGAATACGTAGAACCACCAAGTTACGTTCATTGGGTGACATAGTATTAGAAATCCCCTTAATATACTCGTTAGTTGTTAGCTGAATTGTTTCTCTTATCATCTAACCTAGGAGAGTACATATGAAGAACACCAGGAGTCGTCCTAATTTCCTGTATTTAGTGAGAGGTGACGAATGCATAGCAACATTCTCTAAGAAGAGCAGCCAATCCCTTTTGTCGAATTACTACCTTACTGTAGAAGCTCATTAAACCCGAGACCAGAGAGACATTACTAAATTAGGTAGGTAGTGATTCTAGTAAACTGTTCGAAGGGCTTAAAGCCGAGGTCCCTGGAAGCTTTATGTTAGCCCCGTATTCCGTACATTAGATATGTAGGTACCTATGTAAGATACTTAATCTTATCGATAAAAGCTATGACCTAGGTAGGTAATCCATCAGCCGATAAGAGAATATTAGCCAACATTACATTACATTAGGTACCTAGGTACCTACCTAGGTTGAAGCTCTAACGATAATAATAGCAACAATTCACTAATTTTCTTTGCTGGCGCTACCTTAACCTCAACTACGCAAACAGTACTCCAGACCTAGAAAATAAAATACCCAATCCCGACCTGTCCCCCTTAGCTCCCTCCTCCCGACAACAACCATGGGCTCCAACACCCACCGCGCCGACGAGCGGCGCTTCCTCGACGAGCGCGGCTCCAACGCCGCCCTCGCGCCCAACGGCCTCAACCCGGCCACCATCATGGAAAAAGCCGTGCGCGAGCGCATTATCGAGAGCTACTTCTGGAAAGAGCAATGCTTCGGCGTCAACGAAGCCGACATCGTCGACCGCGTCGTCGACCATGTGTCCTTCATCGGCGGCACCCACGGCGGCAACCAGAAGCCGAGCCCCTTCCTATGCCTGGCCTTCAAACTGCTGCAGCTGGCCCCCGACGACGCCGTGCTCGCCGAGTATCTGCGCTACGGCGGCGACCGCTTCAAGTACCTGCGCGCCCTGGCTTGCTTCTACGTGCGGCTGACGCGACGCGCCGAGGCCGTGTATACGATCCTGGAGCCGTTCCTCGAGGACAAGCGGAAGCTGCGGCGGAAGGGGCGCGCGGGCACCAGCTTGACGTATGTGGACCAGTTTGTCGACGACTTGTTGACGAAGGACCGCGTTTGCGCTACCAGTTTATGGCAGATGCCCAAGCGCGAGGTTCTCGAGGACTTGGAGTTGCTGGAGCCGAGGACTAGCCCGCTAGGCGATATCGAGGATTTATTGGAGGATGAGGATGAGGATGAGGATGAGGATGAGGATGAGGATGTCGATATGAATGGGGATACTAATGGAGACGCGAGAGCGGATAGTGATGAAGAGGGGTTAATCGAGGAGGGAGAGCAGCTTTCGGATAGGGGGCGTAGGAGATCGACTTCTGGGTCAAGTGGGAGAAGAGACTCGGGGTCCCGTGGTAGAGATCGATCGCGAAGTGGCATGGATGTTGATTCTAGTGGTGAACCTGGTAGGGATGACCGATGAGAGAATATGACTACGACGAGTTACGCGATTGGCCCTAGAGACAGGGCCGTACAAATTACTGCGAAATATCACGGCCACTTGGGATGCAAGATTGCTCTATATTCATAGTATGAGCAGATGGTAAGGGTTAGAAGAGATCTTGTTTTAAAGTCTAAGGGGTATTATATCATATAGATCCTCTCTAACTCTACGCTCATCGGCACTCTCCACGACTCCAAATCAGGGAGATGAGAGGTTTTATCTAGGTTAGTCTCTAGCATTGGGCTGCTCGGAACTCAAAAGAGGGGTTGCTGCAATATACGGGGTGCCAGAACGTCGGCCACGGAGAGCAGTCGCGCATCATCCCAATACTGCCCAACGAGTTGCATGCCTCCAAAGCTTAGCAGTTTTTGTTCTTCCTTAGCTGGATCAACGGGGATATCCATGGGAATACTGATAGCGGGCAACCCCGCAAGGCTAGCTGGAACCGTGAAGACATCGTTCATGTAGGAATCCAGGGACGTTTGCCTCATAACGTCCTCGAGCAAGGGTGGAGTCGTCGGTGCGGTAGGACACAGAAGAAAATCGACTTGGGCGGGGCCGAACTTGTTTTCTAGCTGTATTGTATCTTCCATTTCACTGAGGTCGAAAGGTTGCTGGTCTTCGAGCGGGTTTGACAGTTTGAAGATCCGGTCGAAATCTCTTCTGACGAGCCGACGGACTTTCTGGGCTTGAATGAAATAGTTGTCTATAGCCTCTGAGCTGAGCGTGTACGACCCCAGCAGAATGCGACGCTTTACTTCGTTTCCAAAGCCGGTTTCTCTCGTTTTTGCATATAAGATGCCTTCGAAAGAGTCGCTAGCTTGTTCGCTATTCCGTTGACCGTAGCGAATGCCATCGTACTTGGCCAGGTTAGATGCTGCCTCGGCCGGTGCTATCACGTAATAGGCAGAAAGTGCATTTTTCGTAGAGGGTAATGATACCGGAACGACACGGCCTCCTAATTCTTCGATCTTTTGGGCTACCATCAACCAGCCTTGTCGTATGCGCGGGTCGAGCTCTTCGATGTTGTATTCTATCGGGATGCCGAAGGTCAAGCCCTGTATTGTGCCGTCTCGGGCTGGATTCCACGAGTCGTAGCCTCTTCGCTCTGCGGTGCATCTTTGGCGCACGTGAGGAGGCAAAGACGTTGGGTCATTAGGATCATGTTCCAGGTATAGATTTTGTCCTACGATGGTCGTGCCTATAGGGCCCACGGTTCTAGAAAGTAGTCCAACCGTATCTAGGGAGTTTGCATAGGGCACGACGCCCCAACGGGACAACATGCCATACGACGGTTTAAACCCCACGGTGCCGGTATATGCGGCCGGCATGCGAACAGATCCTCCCGTGTCGGTGCCGAGAGCTAATTCGGCTTCTCCTTTCCTTACGGCGACAGCACTTCCCCCAGAGCTACCTCCAGCTGAGTACTTTTCTAGGCCGCAAACATTGTGGATATCCTCAAATGCAGATGTTGTAGAGTGTGTGCCCATGCCAAATTCATCCATACCGGCTTTGGCCGTCACAGCTGCGCCCCTCTGCTTTAACTGTCTGACTATGGTGGCGTCGAAGGGGATCTTGTTTCCAGAAAGAATGTTGGACGCACATGTTGTCGAGAAACCCAGTGCAGAAATATTATCCTTGACTGCGAGGCGGACTGTCTGCCCGTTGCTTTCAATAGGTGGTTCGTTCCTAATCGAGGGGTCCATATTTGCAGCGGTTTGCTGGAGACAACGGCGCTGTATAATACCGGCCCTCCATTTCGAAGAGATCACCCTACGGGCGGCTCTGATTTGGGAATGCCTGACATATGTAGACATGTGGTCCCAGCGATATTCGGCATTCTAAGCTGGTGTTAGTTTATGGTTTATAATGTTTGGCGGCTTTGAAGTTCGTTTCTTGGATGGTGTTTGTTATCGATAAGGTAGCGCACAACGGGTGCAGGCAAGTAGGCGGACTGGCGGGCTCCAGGTACCGAATCCGCTATCTTTAACGCTATCTTTAACGCTAAAGTAGTGTATCCGCATCTGTAGCTTTATCGGTTGCAGGAGAGCTCCGGCTGTTACCAGTGACGCATCTTAAAGCTTGGCAGGTACCCGGACGGTCAACGGTCTCTTGACCTATACATAGTAGGCACCTGCAGCCTCTAAGGTCTTGGAGCTCTTCCGTCCCGTCCCTAGGATGACAATTCTTAGGCTGACAACTCACATGTACAATACCACCACTAAACGCATCCATCCATCTGCATACATCAATATACTCATACTCTATGTATACAGGCACCTACATAAGCTAAGGTTGCCTTTTACATATGTCTATATCATTACCCCCGAGGCTTGACGGCTATGGGCATAAATTGCATCACTACCTATCACTACCTACCTCTTAAATAATCAAAATGATCTCAAGGATTATCTTCGTCGCGTCTCTGGCGACAGTCGCTAGATCCTCTCAGCCTGGAGCTCCCGCGCCGGTCGCTGCTCCGATGAGAGATCTCGAATGGGGACAAATCAATTTCATCCATACCACTGATATACACGGCTGGCTTGGTGGTCATTTGCAAGAGTGAGATACATACGTAAATATTAGATATTAGTTGGTCGACTATTGCCAATGCTAACATTGTTTACCGTCAGACCGCAATACTCAGCCGACTGGGGCGACTACATTTCCTTTACGAGTCATATGAAAAAGAAGGCCGATGAAAAGGGCGTAGATTTACTAGTCATCGATTCAGGCGATAGGATCGAAGGGAATGGCCTATACGACGCCTCCAATCCGAAAGGCAAATACTCCTACGACATCTTCGGCGAGCAAACTGTCGATGTTCTCTGCACCGGGAACCACGAGCTATACCAAGAAGATTCGGTCTCGCGAGAGCACAACACAACCGTTCCGAAATTCAAGCACTCCTACATCGCCTCCAACCTCGACTACATCGAGCCCGAGACCGGCAACCAGATCCCCCAGGCCCAGCGCTACACCAAGTTCACTACCAAGAACCTTGGCTACAATGTCGTCGCTTTGGGGTTCCTGTTCAACTTTGATCGTAATGCGAACAATAGCGTCGTGCAACCCGTCGAAGAGACCATGAAGGAGGAATGGTTCCAGAACGCTATAAGAGAAAAGCCTGATCTATTCCTCGTTGTTGGCCACGTCGGCTTGCGCATGAAGGAGTTCGAACAGATCTTCAAGGTCATCAGAGACCAGAACTGGTACACTCCCATCGCCTTCCTTGGTGGCCACGCGCATGTACGAGATACGAGGAAATTCGATGACATGGCATACGCAATTGCCAGCGGTCGATACTTCGAAACCATCGGATTCTTATCTATCGACGGCATCAAGAAGAAGAGCGGAAGCGCACCTTCGGCTGAAGCTGCAACCGTCACCTTCAAGAGGCGCTACATCGACAACAATCTATTCGGTCTGCACTATCACACCGGCCTAAACGAAACCACTTTCCCCACCGAGCTCGGCCGCAACGTCACCAGACTCATTGCCGAGGGTCGCAAAACCCTCAGCCTCGACAACTCATTCGGTTGTGCGCCGCAAGACCTGTGGATGAGCCGCTCTCCCTACCCCAGCAACTCCAGCATATTTAGCTGGCTCGAGACGCAAGTCATCCCTGACACCATGACCAACGAAGAAAGGAAGGACGTCCCGCGCCTAGCGATTGTCAACACGGGGGCTATTCGCTTCGACATTTTCAAGGGCGCTTTCACCAAGGACTCAACGTACCTTATCTCGCCCTTCGTCAGCAGGTTCAACTACATTCCCGACGTGCCCTACGCCATCGCCAGCAAGGTCCTCGGGCTACTTAATAGCGGTGGCCAGGTATTCAGCGGCGCCCTCGACACCCGTTATCTGACAATCCCCGAGCAAGCGGTTCCGCGTAGTCCGTTCTTCGAGATGGCTGCTGCTGCGGCGGCCGACGACGAAAGCAAACTCCCGCTGTTCATAGAAGAAGACGCCCTGCAGAAACCGCTATCAGGTGCCAACCGCTTGTCTAAACAAGATGAGGGCAAAGGTGAAGGCGATGACCCCGAGCTCGTAGGCGGCTACACAACGCGCGACGACCTGGGCGACGACGGCGACGACGCCGTACACTCGCCTATCAAGTTCTACGCCGTGCCCAACTGCATCCAATCCAAGATCTCGTTCCCTACTCCCGGCAACGACACAACACCCGCCCCGGACCCCGCGACCGTAGACCTAGTCTTCATAGACTACGTCCAGCCGTGGGTCATCACCGCGCTTAAATTCAGCGGCGGCGATTATAGCACCGGCGATGTCAAGGTGTACTCGAATAGCACGCTGACAGATATTATTGCGGGCTGGGTGAAGGGACATTGGAAGAAGAATTGTTAGAATGATGTGGGAATTTGTGAGAATGATATGATATGATACGATACGATACGATACGATACGATATAGCTTTGGTTTTTCACTTTGGATTTCAGACTGCGTACCTCTTTTCTACTTATTTAGCTCGACAGTGCTGGGATTCGGTTCTGGGTTTGGATAGTTCGCTACATAGCCGCGGCTTTTAACGGGAATAAATATAATAAATACCTAAGTAAACGATATATATCAAATGACTTGAGAACGAACCGAGATTGTTCATTTGGCAGCAGAACGCAAGTAGAGTAATTTGTCCAACCTACCCTAACCAGTAATAATAGTCTACAGTCAGTAGGTAGGTAAGCCACTACTAAACAAGATACTGTATAACGATCTTGAAGTCCGCCTTAACGCTAGCCATGACATGATATTGCCGTGACATGATATTACCATAAAACAAAAACCGCTTTTTGCAAAATATAGTAATCCCCAAACCCAATAGCACATGTCTCTAGAGGTATCCATCTCACCACCAGTGCAATTCCCCCACCGTCCCACAACAGTCCATACAAGGCAACCGGCCCGAGGAAGGAAGCAGGGCTGTGGCTGTGGCTGTTTAGTTGGTTAAGGAAAAATCAAGAAATGATGAAGGCGATAAACCAGGAAATGAATGGTAGAGAGAGGATGATCGTGGGGATGGCGAGGAATCCAATCTGCTCACTAAGAGACATGTTGAGGAACCACCTCCTACAGTCTCTCATCTCTCTTTGCAACCACTTCCGGGCGGATGGCCTACGGGGTGCTATTACTGCGCCCTGCTCGATATCAGGGACCACCGGTATGCCGCCTTGCTGAACATTAGGGGGCTGGTTCACACTAGGGGCCGGCGGCTGGTTTGCGGCACCTCTCTGTATCGGCTGGAGTTCTATCTAGGACTCCGGCTGGTACCCCGGCGGGAGCTCAGACCCAGGTCGTGGTTGCAGTCCCGACACCATCGCACGATCTAATTCCTGCTCGAAAGGAACCATCTGGTGAAGAACAGGCGTCCAGTCCGCAGGCAGTGATATGTTATCAACGCCCTCGCTTTGCGGTTCCTGCTCAAGCGTCGACGTATCGGTGCGATTTGCGGATTCTCTCTTGCGCGAAGTAGAGGTGTGAGCTTCGCCGCGGCGGTTGGCAGATTCCGCGTTAACTAAAGTCTCGGCAGACCCTAGCGAGGGGCCGTTGGATGGTTGATTATTCGTTGACGGATTTGGAGAGGACACAGAAGCCCCCGATGCAGGATTAGCAGTGGATTCTCCAGTAGGACTAGAAGCTCTAGTATGAACTGGGGTTCTCGTAGGACTTGTATTCTCTGCGTCATTAAGGGATGCCGGAGGTGATGCTTCTGTAACAACCACATTCGGTGTCGACACATGTTCATTCACCGTAAGCAAGTGATTGGGAACGCTGAAAGCAGGGCATGAAACAGGAATGCTTTTCTTTCCGTTATTATTACTGCCCTGACGAGCAGCGGTGAGGTTTTCAGTCATAGAGCGTGTGGTTTCGATATCAGACCATCGGATATGACGACCAGGTGCTTGAGTAGAAATACCAACACTTTTTTCCACACCCCCTCCAACAGCTAAAACAGTACCGCTAATACGGCCATTCATATTAGCTTGAATACCATCACTGATGATATAGGTGTCATTGCTATTGAATGAGGCGGTCTGAGTCGCAGCGTCAGTGGTGATAAAGAGTGCGTAAGCTTTATGAATAATCATCTTCATCAACCCGTAGAACGAGATATCCCTTGAATGTCTGCACGCGTTACTTATCCACCAACCCAGACCGTTCACAAGCCTATTATCTTCCGCATGGATAGTATAGCTTGACGCTCCGTCGGTAAACACGACCGTCTTTACAGACGAAAGCGAGTCTGATCTATCGCGACTGTGGCGCGATCCACTGTTAGCTTAGGGGACGACTACGATGACTTTGGGGACGGGACAGGACGGGACAGGACGAACAGCGATGGTGAGGGCGAATCGACAAATTCAAAGCGGTTTCGCCGTTCGCTGTATCGGCATGGAGATGCCTCTAGTCCATGATATTCGCTTGGTTCGTGTTCTCTTGCATACTTGCTCAAAAATCCAATCACCCCAAGGGGAATTTGTCCAGTTAGTAGCTTACGAAGCTGCGACCAAACCAGCGCTGGGCTTAGTGGGTGTAGTGTAGTAGTCGATTGTCCCCAGATTTGTTCATGATAACAATTCTGCTGCTTAATCGTAGCTGAAGTTCCGACCCCTGTGATCATATTTTGACGGTTGCGGAGATGCCGAGCCCATCGCTCTTCCATGGATAGACTGTTGAAAGCATTGTGGGGAGAGGATGGAGAAGTGGGTGGCGGCGAGAAAGACATCGTGCGTCCAATTTACCCTCGAGTACGCCGATGGCTATGCTATTTTACCTGCGATGTAATACCTTGACTGATTGGGTGTATAAAAGGGTATTTGATATATTAACGAATGAAATGCTGGAAGCCGTAACGAAAGACCCAAGAAAGATACCAAAATGTGGTTGATGATGCTCTCTCCGATGCCTCCTCAATCTGAACCGGGAGAAGTTGTTCCAACAAACATAGCAAGAAGAGATTGGTAAGTACCTACCTACCTACATGTAGGTAGGTTAGGTAGGTTGCCTATTGGATCTGGTCGAGCAGCTTCCGCCTTCTCCTTTCTATGAGCTCTTGTTGCACCTCCTCCAGCGTGGGCAACTCCCAGCCTTTACCATCTCCCACGTCACCAGGTAGCGGCTCCCATCCTAGAGGAGGTTCCGCCTTCCCTCGCTTTAATAGCTCATCAAACGCCTCGCGTTCCTTCTCGGCCTCATATTCGAGTAATGCATCGTCTTCTTCGTCGGGTGCATACCCGTAATATTTGGCGTCAACTGCTTTCCTTAGGTCCTCGCGAGACTCTAATGGCTTCTCCGAGTCTTGCAGCTTCTTCTGCGCAGCAGCCTCGAGCAGTTCTTTCACGCCAGGTAATTCCTTCGCTCGCCCGAAATACCTATACCCTTTGCCTCCTCCCGGTATCTCCCTACCCATTTCATCGTAAACTTTGCCGCCGCCACGCATATAATTAGGGCCTCCTAAATTCCGGATTTGTACCTCCCACATGTGTTTCTCTCGCATGAGCTTATTTATTTCGTCATTGAGATCTCGGATCTGGTAGTCGCTAAGAGATGTCTCCTGGATCCGGGACATTTTCCGGCTGATTTCCTTGAGTGTTTGGCCTCTCCATTTCTCGCATGCGGGGATCGAATCTACTTCTGTAATAACCTTGGGTCGCCGCGCTCGTCCTGCATCGATGATACCTAAATCCGCAGCTTGCGCCTCGCGGAAGCGAAATAGCATCGACTGGGCCTTCTCTGAATTACGCGCCTGTTTAAGGGTTAATTCCGGACTTCATCAACGAGTAAGATATACAAAATCGCGTTTAATTACCATTTTGACTAGACTATTATATCTTATGCAATTAGATCTTGGTATAATCGACCTGTAGAGAAATTGCTGGCTGCTGAGAAAAAGGATGGATAGGTCCAATGTATGTACCTATTTATTGGGCATAGATGAGCACAGTGAAATTTCTCAGCCTCGTTTCGATTGAGGCTGAGGATCCACAATAGGTACGGAATATGGTGGAGACAACCTTAGACAGCTGGTACTGGTCTGGTTAGCCAATCATAGGGCTATAAAACGCGACGCGACCTTCAACAGCTCAGTGCACTCTTTTTATTAATTCAAAGTACCTAGGTATCACTACGTATATGTATCTTGCACTTTCAGCGTGAACACTCTTACTTTTAACCATTTCATCTCTTTTCTATTCCGTATTTGACATGAAAATATTTATTTATGTCGCCTGAACTTATTGCTCCATCCAAGTCGATGAATATAGTTACATTATCAGATCTTTAACTATTATCTCATCAAGGCGAACATCTACATGCAGACTTCTAATAACCTGCAAGTTAAAGCGTGCGGTTGTTAGCTGTGCTACAAAGCGGCAATCCAGTCTTGCATATTTCATAGGTATTTATCACTTCATCCATCTTTCATATTTGATATTTGATATTTTCACCATTTTCCCTTTTAAATGCGCTTGGTTTCTTGGTCCTCTTAATGACTTGATTCCTCTACCAAGTTTGCAGGTCGACTTGAGCAGACGAGTGTCCAGCTTCGACCTACAAGCAATCCCCAACGATATCTTTACATAAATTTATTTCATAGCCTAGCAGTGAAGAAACTCGTCACAAAGACTGTTGGAGCCGTAGGACCTTCTCTTAGGCCTACGGCAAATGACAATACTCAAGAACAGAAATCTGAGCTAGGAGATACACGCCTGTAGCACGGCATCGGCTTCCCATCTCTAGGACCACTCGGTATTTTCAGACATTCAAGCGCGGGGGCAATGACGACAAATAGCACATGGCGAGAATGGCATACATTCGATGAATTCCCTCATAGTTTTCAATCGGAGCCTTGCTGGGTGTCTGGAGGACTGCTTAATCTGACGATGATGCGTTAGTCTATGATCGTCGATGTTAATAGGTTCTCCTTTTTCTTTCTTTTTCTTAGCTGCAACTAGCAGTGATACAACTTAAGAATGCCCGGTGATGACCAATTCCAAAAAGCCAAATTTGCAGGCAGCCTGAACGGACTCTGCTTTCGTCATAGTGCGGAAACAGGGCGAGGGAGTGGTTGTCAATGAGAACTTGAGAGCTAATCTGAGGGTACATATATATTAAACACCATCATCCACCGCCCGTCTCAGTATACTCCATTATTTCGAAATATTCCAAACGCTGAAACTAGGAAGTCTTAGTTACTCATGGAAAGAGACGGTGGTGTTGAGCACAGGATATAGGCGAAGGATCGTTGTTGGGTATTAGCAAGGAAAAGAATATAGAATACTGGGCTCATTTCTCTCAAACCATGAGATCTACTACGAGATAAAATACCCAAGTGGGAAGCATGACTACCTAACCTATGTAACAAAGTGTATACTGGCGGATATTTCTCTAAGTTTTCTCAAAGATCATCGTTGATTATTATTCCAAACCACTCATCCGTTAACCCCGGCAGATGTTGTTAGATGTTTAACTTAATATATGGCGCATTTGATATTGAGATGAGCCTACCACGTTCACGTCTACCCCTGTATACGATTTGCCTCCTCTTATATAGATGAATAGATTGCCTCATGAAGACTTCGATCCATCTGTCTGGTTTCTGCATTCCTTTTATCTTCTCCCTGTCCCCGTAACTATTCACTTGCCTACTACGAGTTAGATTTGGTCATTACAAGAAGCAAACCAGATAGCGCCATATCCCCGGATAGTGGCAGCGGCAATAATGCCTGCTAATAGAACTGGTGACGCAAAATTTACCTCTGTAACAGCTGTGTCCACGTCGAGACACTGCTCGAGGAAGATAAACAATCCAAGGAGTTTATAGTACCCAGACAATACGCGATTCATATCATGCATGCATATGAGAGCTTGAAATTATCTATCTGGTAATTCATAAGAATGAATTCAATACCATCTTCTGGATTATATTAGTTACCTTCGATACTTACCATATATCTCACCAGTAAAGTCACATGCACGTTAGAAAATCAATATCGTATATCTTTCACGAACGAGTTTTTATTAGCCGTTCATCACTGACAGCTTCCGACTAGCTAGATCAATCCATCCTCATTCTTAGACGAAGAGGAGCCACTCTATATGAGAACCGTTTTATTGTGCCATGGTCATACATCCATCCCCCCTCATAACCCCTCCAAGCCCCTGGGTAATCGTATGACCCAAAACGCACATCACGTACCGTGCCGTGCTGTGCCACTCATTCCGCAAGTACATAATTACTATGTAGTCAGTCACAGGCCCCGTAATTACATCATTTTTTTTCATTCGTATCTGCCTTAGTGCCTATATATTTAAGACACCTACATCCCATCACATCGTAATATTCACTGCCTCTTCTTTTCCGAAGTAGTCGCAGGCTTGCTATATAGCCAGAGAGCGCAGAAGCCCAACCATCCGGTAACAGTGACACTGATACCTGCGATCCAGGGCCAGGCGCCGCTGATGACGTAGCTGCGGGGCCATTCATCGTGGGCAAAGTGCCGGACCGAGACCGTGTTCTTCTCCTCGACGTTGCTGTAGAAGGGGCGCTTGTAGTTGACCTTGAAGTTGAAGATGCCGTGCTGGTCCGGCAGCTTGAATGATACTGAATATGTTGTACTGTCCTCGGATGAGATAGTAGGGTTTAGCTGGAGACGATGGAAGGGGGACAGCATGCTGAATTCCAGCTGCAGGTCGTCGTTGTCCGGGACGGTGAAGGGGGTATATTTGTCCCAGGAGTACTCGGAGAGGGAGATAGAGTATGTCTAGGTAATGTTAGTCAAGGGGCTACACTAGAAGCTTGGGCGAAAACATACCACGTCGTTCTTAATACGGTAGATTTTAGGGTTGCTGGCGTTGTTCTGGCCAACCTCGTTCAGGTGGTGCTCAATCCAGTTCACTCTCAGGACGCCAATCTCCTTGAAGGTCCAGCCCGCTACTCGCTTGGCAAATTCGCGGTTAACAGTACTGACCTCCTTATTCTCACCCACCTTCTTCACCTTAGCATCGAACCACTTGTCGCTCAACATCTCGGCGGAGCCAATAATTGTGAAGCGAGCCGAGTTGCGAGCTTGGAATGTGCTCACAAGGGAGAGCTGGGAGCCGCTTGCGAAGAGCTCGTCGATGACTTCGGCTTGCTCTTTCGGATTGTAGCTGTAAGATGTGGAGGGAGCGCGCAGGATCGGCGTAAGGAGGGCACCTGAGCCAAGGGTCTGGCCTGTGCCGCTTGGAAAGGCGATAACTCCTCCGTCTGCAGAGACTGGGCTGAAGAAATCCTTAATATCTGGACGAAGAACTCCCGGAGGCGGAAGCAAGAGCACGTCATGCTTCTCTGGGGCAGACAACACATCGTAGTTGAAATGATCGACAACGAGACCCTGTCGATCGGAAGGTAGGTGAATATCTAATTCGAGGAGTAGAGAGACGATGGATGTCGGGGCTGGTTGAGAAGCTGAGAGAGCTAGGAGGATGTTGCCATTTGCATTGATAAAATCGAGGAGGATCTTAGGTGTTAAGTTTGGGCCGAGTCCTTTCGCTCTGTCAGTTATATTACTTAAAAACTCCATGACACCCATGACACGGTTGCTATGGAACAAGTATACCTTTTGACTTGGTCGGCAGGAATAGAACATGGTCGTAAGACTTCTCGCCGAGGTGGAATAAGCTTAGGCCTTCGCTCTTGGGAGTTTCGTAGTTGATCTGAAATCCTCGACCTGTTATAATATTGTGTTAGTATGAATGATGTGACGAAGCATTTGCTTTACATTTGCTTTAGGTATTAGCTTTGCTCACCCTCCAAATCACCTAGGAACTTAGAGTAGCCCTCCTTCTCGGCGACATCCTCGAGGAGGACCAGCAACCTATTCCCGCTAGAGCTGATCGCATGGGCGAGGGCGACGAAGAAGAAGACGACGAAGGATATTAACGACTTCATCTCGGCGGTATCTCAATGATCAATTGGCTTCAAGGAGAACAGGAGAGGAAGAAAAGGAGTGCGACAGCAGAAATATTGCCGCGCATGGGACCTATATTTGTTAAATGTCTGGGTTTACGTTTACAAGTTTGGGATCGGACCAGCTTGTCTCCAAATCTTTGTACTTCGTTGCTGCCGGATTTTTGGAGGTCTGGTATACGTAGCCCGTACCTGCCAAGCTCTAAATGTACATGGGTGCACGATTACGTCGCCCTATCAGTGCACTTCATAGCACCGGCAGAGTACACTCCGATTTTCCGAGTAACGTCTTTATTAAATCTAATAGGTACGAAGTACCGATGTATGTGTACATAGGTACTTCATGGGTACCTAGGTACATATGTAAGCATCTAGGTAGGTAGGTTAAGGTTCTTCTTATTGCTCATCAGCAATTCCTAAAATCCTAACAATCAACTTCACTTGGTGACTAAATTTCTATTCTAAAAACAACATGTAGGATTGTAGGTGCACTTTGTAAAATGGAGGCCGGCCCCTCCCGCAAACGCTTGCGGCGTAGTACACGAAGTTGCTATCAATGTACGCATAACCGCCTTAAATTATACCTGACCCTCATAATAAGTTGACATATCATACCAGGTAGAAAGCGTAAAGTAAAGTGTCAGCTCATTGATGAGAAGGTTGATACTTGTGCTGAGTGCGTCAAGAGCGGGATTCGGTGTACTATTCAACCGCCTGAGGCAGCGTTGAGCAGCAAAGGCTCTCCTATTTACGTTGATAAGGAAGGACAAGAAGCAAGACTAGATCGCATCGAATCTCTCTTGAAAAGGTTGGTTGAGACACAAGAACAATCTCAACCGGCTGAGGCTTCATTCGAATGCGAATCTATGGCTCCAGCCTCTCTTTGGAACGATTTTGTAAGTGATACCTGGCAATTTCAGTTGAAAGACCAAATCCTTAGACAATATTAGTTGTTTCAATCAACGACCGATGGAACATTCCCTCTCTTCAACGATGATAGTCATCCTATACATCAGTTAGAAGACACGCCAGATGAGAAACAGCCACTTGTGGCCCTTCTTCCGTCTGTGCAGGATGCAGTTACTATAGCTACAAACAGTTCTGCTGGCCTGTGGGGAGCAGAAACACCCCTTGGCAGTGTCCTGAGGCCGAACGATACACTCCGGCTCCGAGACATAGCTGCTATTTCGAGAGGTAGTGCTATGCATGTTGCTAAAACATTGCTCTTATTCGCGCTATACATGCAACAACTCCCGTCACGTTTTGACGTGCAGTTCTTAGGTCCCGAAAGCATCGAAAGGACTATCGAATTGATCATAGACCGGGTCAAGCTATTCGTCCTATCTCACGAAGACGAAGCTTCTTCGTTAGAAGGTATAGAATGTCTCACTTTACTAAGCTCCATTTATCTTAACGATGGCGCAATTCGAAAAGCGTGGATGATCTTTAGAAGAGTTCTCGATATTGCCAGATTAAAGGGGTTTCAAAATAGTTTCTCCCTTTCTGCTCGCAGCTCATCTTGTAGCAATTTAGCCCTTCAACGGCGCCTGTGGCTTTCGACCGTCTGCGGCGATTGCTACTGCAGTCTTCTCCTCGGTCTTGAGCCTGGACTTGGTATTGCACCCTTTGGTCCTGGCGACGATACCTGGGTGGATCCGCTTGCTGATGAAGATACCAACGTCCAACGCCGTATTTGCCTAATAGTGTCACGCATTGCACAGAGGAATGCTGTTGGTCTCAGTGGAGACCGTAGTATCCTTCGAGAAATGGACGAGGCACTGAACAGATTACAAGATTTGATGCCTGCTTCTTGGTGGAGAGCTCCGTCGTTCCGTCAAGATCGATCTCTTGACTCATCCAGGGAGCCAAACCGCCTTATATGCCAGCTATGGTTTTATCAAGCGCGGGTATTTGCGCACTTACCTATCGCGTTTGGAAAAGCTATGAGTGACTCACTGGATAGCCTCGAAAGCTGTATAGAGGCATCCAGGTTTACAATTCATCGATACCTTGGATTGCAGCACGTCAAAGATCAATTATCTCGTTGCAGAGCCGTCGAGCAGTCTGCCTTTTTTGCTGCCGTGGTTCTTCTCCTCGCTAAAGTACAGCTCCAATATCTTGATAAGCGTGCTATAGCTTCTAGATACGACTCAGATCAGGCTCTGATTGAGCAAGTCGTTGGCTCTTTCGAAGTTTCTGGAGAAGCTGGAAGTAGAGAACATGTAGCAAGGCAAAGCTACGAGATCCTCTCCACTATGCTAGATATCATTACTAACTCAGAGAACACCTTATTCATGACGGGTCACTCCGGTTCCAACGCTCCCTCGACACTTGGATCGTCTTTCGATCCCAACATCGTTGGGAATACTGAGGATGTTTCCAGTGCGACCAGGTCCGGAATGGAAGATATAATTGCGTCTTCGATCCAACCAATGCTCGACGTAGAAAGCCCAGCTTCGCACCTGATGAAACTATTATTTACGAAGTGTGACATAGCAAAACTTCCTCAAACCCCACCACACGTAGCGCTTACCGTTGGTGGTTTAATAGATCCGACTATCCTTCAGTGAGACACTTCATAGAAACTACAACATTGACAGTTGTTTTTCCATAGAACAGGCAATTTTACTTTGTTTAGGGTGTTACCATAAAGGTGAAAGACCAGGAATACAACGATCATACAAGCCTTCAAATCCTATCTACATCTACTAATGTTTGGTGTTATTTTTTCCGTAATTCCAAGGCTTCCAATAACTCCCTCCCTTTTCTCGCTATGCGCGTATTTTCAATGCTAGAGTCTTCCCCCTGACCATCGATAGCAAGATACGTCATAAATGCGGCCAACACTTCAACTCGGACACTCAAATTCTCTCCTAACACCCCAGAAATCACACCAGGAACCATCATTCCCTTAGTTACAACTGCTCCTGGCCTAACCATGAAGGTCTTCCATATAGTAGGGTGGCTCTCTGCGAATGCAAAGGTTTTAATCTCGAGCCGGCCCTAAAAGACAATCAGATATGGAAAAGTCCCGATAGGTTAGATTATGTATACCTTCATCTTGCGTGCTTCTTCCAGGAAGTATAACTTCTCTTCTTGGTTCCGACGGACGAATTTACCGCTTAGATGGACGTATTTAAAAGAGGGTCTGTCGAGTTTCGTTTCCAGCACTCGTCCCATACTTTCTACGAAAGCTAAGGGGTACTCCAAGTCGGGGAGGATGTTCCCCGTATTGGTTCCCATGTTCCTATAGGCATCGTGTTAGTTAGTAACTCCTGTGTGCTCACTCTTTACGCCAATCTTACCAAAGCATACCCACAGCATCCGAATGTGCCTGTAATACGTCTTCTGGCCATTTTAAGAAGTCTTTAATTATAACACACTCGAGCTTCGGATGACTGGATACGTCGGCAGGTAGAGCCCGACGTACGAACGCGATTACGCTCGAGATGTCTGGGTGGGCGAGGCAGTGACGGAGAACTTCACCTCCAATGGACCCGCTCGCGCCGACAATGAGGATCTTCATATTGGCGAAAAGGCTAAGGTTGATAATGGAGAGCAGGGAAACCAACGGGTGGGAATATGTGTCTGAATAGTGAGACTTGAATGTTTACGCATGCATATTGCGAGGATATATATGATCATAGCTGTCGCCCGAGTCGGCCGAGGAGGATGAAAACGTCGTCATTTCCCAGCACTAGGGCTAGCGGAACTTAGGAGGAACTAGAATGACTCAACTATAGTCTATAATAGAAACAGAAAACAAGAGCAACCTACTCTCAAGTCCTCTTATTACGACTTTCAGTAGGTTGGCTGTAGCCTGTACATCGAATCGGACTGGACACTCCATGTACCCAGACATCCTATTTACGAAGTACTTATATACTGCTGTAGATCATCAGGCATTTATATGACGACAGAACTAATTTATGATACAAAGGTCGAGGTTACAACATGTAAAGAAATTCATATATTCTAGAAATATTCAATAATGGCAATAAGTACTAGGTTGTATATGTCTCACATGAGAATTGCGATGCTGGCGTACATAAGTTAGACAGTCCCGCTTATATTCGAATGTACATGTGTAGGTACATACATGCATCTGCACTTAAAGAGGTACTTAAATACTTATAGTATGCACAGACCACTTATGTCATTCCCACCGGCCCAATCGCATCGGAGCTCACAACCTCGCCTAACCTTCAAAACCAGCATCGCATCGCATCGCCTCGCCGGCCACTCTCAAGATCCCCCGTCCCCGTCCCTCTTCAGAGGTCAATTGAACCACCACCCACACCACGTATGTCCACCTACCCACCTAATACCTAAATCTCATACTCCCAATTCCCAATTCCCTATCCCACCACCACTAACCTCTAAATTCTAACAAACTAACATCGCCAGACAGCAGAGCAAAATGTCCGCCCCAACACCCGCCTTCTTCGCCGGCCCCCTGCGATACTGCCGCTGGGCCGCCCGCGAGCGCCCCGCCTACTTCTGGTCCGTCGTCATCGGCGCCGCCGGCCCCCTAATGCTAGCCACCGTCCCGCCCGCCATGAAGCGCCTGGGCTACGAGCGCTCCCCGCCCATCCCCTTGACGTATCCCGGTACGTATTACCTACCTACCTCCTACCTACCTCCTACCTACCTACCTCCTACCTACCACCTACCACCCACCAACCTAAAGAACAGAGAGACAGAGAGAGAGAGAGAGAGATAGGGTGGGATAAGGGGAAGAGGGTATACATTGTCGTCGAAGAAACAAAATGGCTAACGGACACCCATCCGCAGTTCCTACCGGCCCGCGAAAGACGTTAACTGGCTACGACGACTGAGCGCTATACACACCTAGTATCACACCTAGTATCTACGGCACATACCTAGGAATAGGACATGAGCATAGTAGGACCGTGGATCGATAGGCGGATCTACATGTATATATCAAAATTAAAACCACCCTCCAAGCGCCTCACGTCGTCGGACCTCGGGGCAAGGTATGAAGACGGGGCTATGCGGAAAGGCCTCAAGGGGGGAACGTATTAAAAAGAGTAATCAATCAAGTCAAAAGAATTATCATCTAGTTCAGTTCAGTTCAGTTCAGTTCATTTCATCGTCCCACGACCAGCGCCGTGTATTGTATTCATCATCTATTCGTTCACTCATTGGTTATCTGCGTCTAACCCGTCCCATCTAAGCGAGCTATCCATATCATCTATCCTGGAATCCGGGCTACCTAGCAGAACGACCCTCCGCCCGCTGTATATCAAGAGTGCTAAAATCTCAAGCAAACGCCCGTCTATGCACCAATGCTTTGCGACCGCATCTTCCAGCACACCGTGGATGGCCGTTTTCTTTGGGTCAGACTCTATCTTTCCCTTTGGATGAGATTCCATTCGTACTAGGTCATGTGTCAGCTCTAATTGTGTTCTCTAATTGTGTTTCCATGACGGATAGATCGACTTACAACTCGTCCGTCGTCGTCTCCGGTATACACCAGCTGCGGCATCGGGGTGATGCAAGTAATCGCCGCCTCCGTATTTGTCCCCGTCTCGCTGCGCGTGTCGATGTGGTCCAGCCGTCTTACCAACTCCAACCCCCACTTGCCACCCTTGATAATCCGTTTCCAGATATTTACCTTGCCTCTCCTGTGCCCCGTAAAGATGAGATAACTCTCTAGCCACTCGTTTCCTGACCCCTCGTAGAAGGAGCAAGAATATACGTAGTCGTCGGGCTCGGAACATACGTTCTGGTCCAGTATCAAGTCGCCATTGATTGTGTATAATGTCACGTTCGGACCTGAACACAGCATTATCTCCCCAGATACGTCGTTGATGCGACCACACTCGACAGCTCGAGCGCTCGACAGCTTTCGCACAAACTCGAGACGATTCATATCCCAGAGGAACGCGTGTCCGTCTCCGGAAACCGTGACCAGCGTGCTAAAAGCCTTTGACACCGCAATCGTCGTGACCGGAGTCTTGTGCCCGAATAGCGAAGAACGATGCATCAGCTCCACGGGCTTGCCTGAGGTGGTCTGTATGGTGAACACGGACACGACGCAATCCTCACCGGCAGTGATCAACGTCTTCGAATCGGCGACGACGATACATGATATTTGGCCTGTGTGCAAGTTTTCGCTGACGCCCGCACTCTTCCGATTTTCAGTGTGATAGAAACGCACACTATTATCCGCATATCCCCACTCGAGGTATTTGTCAAAGAAAGGGGGAAGGTTGAGGCGGAAGGGGGACGAACATAGGAGCCGATCCAGTTTGGGTGAATATACTAGGGAGGCGACCCGCTCGCGACTTTCGAGAAGCGGGTGAGGTATCCTGGCAAGAGAATGGCTGGCCGTATCTAGTCTCTTCACTGGAAATGAGACGTTCTCTCGCGGCGGATGGGGCTTGGTGAAGACTTGATGTGGTGTTTGTCCGAAATTATGGATAATACTTGTTGTAGCATGTCGTTCGTTCGAGTCCGTAATGTTGTCAAGATCTTTGGCACCGTAATACGAAAGGTAATGGAACACGTTCAAGTTATCTACAGCTGCTTCGCCACGTTGCTTATGACCGAATATCAGGTCGATCCAGAGATGAAGGTTTTGGCTCACGTAAGGACTCTCTAATGCCTCACGATGCTTCGCAACGAATATCTTCGGATCGCCTTTGGCCCATGGAGGTAACTCAACGTGGTTGACCCGGCCACCAGAACCTTGACGATCGCCAAAGTTATATCCATTTACGTTCGTTAAGAAGTCTGGGAGATAGAAGAACTCTGGTATTAGCTCTCGGACATCGGATCCGTTGTCCTGCGATGCGGATTTCCACGACCCTTCAATCGAGAAGAAGAGTCGATCTGCGTGGTCAAACGAGCCACCTTGAAGTAGGATGAAGGACTGCACAAACGGAGGCAGACGAATCAAATACGATGCAACAATCATGGCGGACGAGTAGTGCGTGCCGTAGTGAAAGGGTGTCTCGCCAATCTCAGCTAGACTGGTGTATCTGGTCTGATAGTCAAGCTGACGTCGTGCGGTCTGCGCACCCATAGGCTTCGACAGATCTCGGAACGTGGCGGGATTGTTCAAGTCTAATTCTTCACTCGTGTAGTCTGCCAGGACCCAGGGGAAAACTGGATATTGGGTTAAGTCATTAAATGTCCGGCCTGCCATTGTATTCACGAGCATTAGGTAATGGAAGTTAGATATTTCGCCTCGTTGCCATCGTCTCATGAGAGGATTCCAGGGGGAAGAGTTGAATATGCTGCCGAATTTTGATCCAAACGATTGAGGTGACTCTTCGAAGACTTTGAGCGACTCTAGACGCCAGGCATCCTCTGGGTTGGGCAATGAGTTAGCTCCTGCGGTGTGCGGAGTCTTGTTAGCGAGCTTAGAAAATATTTCGTCTCTCATCGCCGGATTCATCGCAGTCAGAAGATAACTACGGCCGTCGGTAAAGAAGACTTCAATAGCTACATCTCGGAACAAGAACCGGCGCTTCGATATACTTATAACATCGTGCCACTTCCAACTGCGGGAGTCCTGAGAGGTGCGGCTTATGGCCTGTCGATTTTCGCTAGACTTCACACCAGTTATAATCTGAGAGAAAGGGTCACGCTCTTCCACGGGCGCTTCCCAGACGTTGACTATCTCTCCATCCGCACACTGGAAGAAACTGTCCATCAAATAAAGGGCGTTTTTTCCAACTAAAAGAATACCCTCGAATGCTTCAAGACCAATGACGCGGGAGACATTGTAAACTTGCTGAACCGTGTCGCCCTGCTGTAGGCGTCTCATCACTCTCCTATTCTTGTCTTCGAACCCGTCATCAGCATCGTTAGGATCGTTCGGGTCGTCAATCATCTCGAAGTCATCCTCGGGGATGGCTGTCTGCCCAGGTTTTACTCCAGCCTGAGTACCAGCCGGGGCGTCATCGGCGTCATCTTCGGCGACTTCATCCTGGCTGCTTATCTGCCCTTGGGGTATGGATGGAGGTGCAGGCTTTCTTGACGCAGGTGTTGCAGCAGGCATATCAATTGACTCTCCTTTGGAAGTAGAAGTTGCCGGTTGGTCTGTCGTTTTCCGCTTGGGTTGGTATTGGTCGTGGTCGGTAGAAAGGTCCGGTAGAAGCCGGAGGCGCATACGATTCCGACCTTCTGTCCTATCAAGTTTCCACTTAATGGGCCTAGGATCGTATAATACAGCTCCTGGTCGGTTAAGGTCCTTTTGCATACGGGAGAACGAGGACGAAAAGAAAATGACATCATCCTGTTGGTCCTGCATTAGACGTTGATGCTTGAAATGCTCAGACGCGTAGATGGATTTCATCCAGGCGGAGTTGGCCATGTCATGGCGTAGTAAGATATTGTCCCGTTCGACCATCTCCGAATGCCATCGTTTCAGAGTCTCTTTCCGTTTTGTCAATCGTGATTTAGCTGTCTCTGCCGTGCGCTGGTTTTCCGTGTTGACGAATTCTTCCCAGGCCCGCGAGAGACCCCCTAGAAACAATGCATCAAGTGAAGGTCGATGTTCATCAACCCAATCGATGAATGCGTCTGTATCAAGTTCGGTAAGTTTCTGGAAATCTGCTGCAAGCTGAGTCTGGTCTGAGGCGGATGTCATGGATAATCGAAACAGCGACGTGCATTCGTTGGGTTTCTGTACAAGCATGATGCGCCAGAGATTGACAGCAGCAAGTCGTACGGCTCGCCTCGTATCTACTAACTTAGTATAGAGCTGGTACCAGAAGAACTTCATATAGTCATCATCGGGCGATAAAGACTCTAATACAACCATTTGCCAGTAAAGTATCTTTTCCATTGAAAAATTCGCCTCCACCTCGGTGGTTTGTGGATCGTCCATTTCTGAGAGTCTAAGTAGGACTAGTTTAAGAAACGAGCCTCGAATAGTCGTCACTGCTTGGCTGCATAGTCTTACGGTTTTCATCTTTGCGACGTCTGGCTTCTGGAGATATTCCAATAAGAGTCCCGCGAAGTTCAACATCGATTCGGTACCGTTCATAAACCACCCTTCGAATATTGCTTCAACCATGTGGAGACTGAACCTAGCCATGTTGGTGAGCACTTTCGGCTCGCTTAGAGCTTTCCAATCAAGCTTGATCGCTGTTGATATATGGACGATAGTGCTCTTCAATACGTAGGACTCGAAGTATGCTTGGTGTTCTTGGAATCCAGGAGGCACCTTAAGGAATAAGCCGAACCCCGGAAATTCCTTTCGTACCAATAGTTGGTCTACGAAGACGTTGATAACAAGCTCGAGGAGGCCCTCGACTAACCCATGGCCGATATTTTGATCGGCAACTTTCTTCTTCGGAGACATGACATGAACGAGGCGAGCTGGACTGGATTGGGTCGACTTCTGGGATGTGAGAAGTATAAAAGATGAAGCCTTCCGTAATTGACTTCCCCGATGAGCATGAGTAATTCTACTAGCAGGTAGCGATGCATCGGTCGCGCTAGACGTTCTAATTACGGGTGCAGCACTTGTTGTCCCACCAATCGGGCGAATGATGACATCTCCGCCCTCGAAAGTGAGTGTTGAGTCTCTAGAGTTAAGTTCTGTCTCGGGATTGACCGGATCCGTGCTTACGATAGCTGGGTAGAGGGCAGATAGAAGTAGCCTCACGTAGTCCGAGGATAGTGCAAAATCTCGGAAATCTGCCGATCGAGTATGTAGGTCTGCCATGAACCGAATAACAGTCTGGAGTACCGCAGCGTTCCCAGCGTTACGTTCGGCTCGCGGTTCAATTATTTCTTAAAGGACACTTAGTTTACATCCACAACAATGGAAAGACACTCACCTCGTGATTCAAGCTCCTTTTGAAGTGACATTGATCGTGCTCGTAGTCTTGTCCCCAAACTTTCATGCTTCGTTACGGCCATGTCTAAATCAGGTGGCGGTGAAGCTGGATCCTCCTGGGCTTTCAGAATATCTTTCAGTGCATGCTGGATCATGGCCGTGATGATCGACAACGCATCTGGATTGGCGATTTTGCATTTCCCAAACGTTTCTAATAAACTGAAAAAGTCGAAATTCTTCTCGAAGTCTATTTCTGCGACGTCATATCCAAAGAGGATGCTGAAGCAAATGGGCCAGAGAGTTGCAATATCCCACCACCGCTTAAGACGGTGAGCCATAATACAGAAGCCCCCGGTCTTCCCCGAAAACTTGTTGATATAGGCCGTCCCGTGGGTGACTAAAAGCCTAGCAAGTATCTTGCAGCCGTACGTTACGATTTCCGGGTCGTTTTCTGTGAGAAGATACAAAAGCCACTGGACCATCATCAGCTTGGAATTTTTTCGCAATGGCCTTGCGTCAAGTACCTTGTTTGTCACTGTTTTAGCGAACTTCCGAATAATTGCTAAGTTCCCTTTTTCGCATAGCAATTGGCTATACATATCCAGGAGACGTATGCCGACCTCTCTCTTCGTGAGCAACCGCACGTCATTCCCGCCCGCTCCGTTTATAGGGACCAGCGGTCGTAATGGAATATTATGAGAGGGCCGACGATTTGCTGCTTTTGGAGTACGCGGAAGAGATCTCGACGTGGGATGAAAAGCATAGGTAATGAATAGAGCGAGTGATTGGTGGACCTCGGTGTTATAATTGCATTTGACGAGGCTTTTGATAGCGCTTATGAAATAGGGGAGTACAGCTTCCAGCAGAGGCTCCGACTTAATGGCATCGAGGAGCCTTTTCACAATTCCTAAAGCACGATGATGTTAGTGTAAATTGGGGCGCTTACTTAGATCCCAAGTAACTCACGCATTCGAAGTAGCCTGCGGTTGTTGTATTGATGATACTTGCTCATCACGGCGAAACTCACGAACTGTTTATAATACAGCTCTTGAACAAGAGGACCGCATTTTCTCCAACCATCAAAATCAACTAGGAGAATGCGATATGCTAAGGGGTTTATGATCACTGATTCAAGAGGATCCCGGTGTTTATAACCGACAAATTCCAGTACAAGGCTGAGGATCTGGACGCATAACTTGTCCTTTTCGATATTCGAAATCGCAAGCTTCTCAGTCAGCCCTTCGCTTCCAGGCCCGCCAAAACCAAGCTTGGCTTTTAATAAAATTGCTAGGATCGCATACCCCCCATCCTTCTCCATAGCCTCGCTATTTCGCCAACTCGAATTGATACACAGGAAGACCATCTCAATAGCACGTACTAGCGTTTCGGCTGAAGAAGCCCGATCGATTAACTTTAATGCAAGTGGCGTGAAGCCCGCTAATTGCCAGAGGGCAGCGTCGAAGAACTGGGGAGTTGCAACAATGGGATTTCCAGTCAATACTGCCACGCCATTCGAACGAAGAAGCGCATCGTTAATCGAAGGCAACGCCGTGTTAATAGCTATGCCCGTGCCATTTTTGAGTACCATTTGTACCAGAGTATGAGCAGGTCCGCGAGACAAGGAACGATATAGCTGTGACTCGCCAAAGTGTTCCTTTTCCCGAAAGATCGAAGAGGGCAGTACACTGAGAACGATTTTATGCTCTGGGACCACATGACTGGCTTTATCCCTAATAACCTTCATGATATCAGAGTCATCTTTCCCGGTACTAACAAGATCATTACGGAGACCCAAGGCAGCGGATGCCGTGTAAGTTTGGAATCCGCCAAGGCAGTCCTGGAAGTTCCCTTGGTAATGAACTCCTAGCCGACTGGGAACCGATAGAAAATCATCACTTAATACGTCATCAAAAAGATGGGCTGTACCAAGAGACCATCTTGAATGTATTAATCCTGTACCCAGGTGAGAAGAAAGCTCACGCGGGGTCCCTAAAAATGCCTGGACTGGCATGGCCTTGTTACTCGAAGAAGTAAACGATGCAAAACTCTCCGTGCTGCCGTTTGATAACGGCGGCTGAGCGGGATAAGAGGCACGTATCTGCTCGACAAATTCACCGTTCACATATAAGGAAGCCTTGCTGGGTATCATTGTTTTAGGTCGTCGGTGGGCCACCACGATATGATACCATCTCCCTTGCTTGAACGTGAAGGTTCTAAACCTGACACTCGGCCGCGGCGAAGTAACTGAAGTTTGTAAAATGAAATTATGGGTATCTTTTTCGAGATATGCGAGAACAAAACAGGTTTGAGTTGAGTCAAATGCTCCAAAAAGTGTAGTATGTGATTTCGGATCAAACTGATCGATCCGCACCCACGCAGCAAATGTATATCCAGCAGAAGACGGAGGGGGGAATGGACGCCCTAAACTTGGCAATTCAATTGAAGAGTGCCCATTTTGGGACAAGTCGAATTGTATGTATGGAGGGCCACCGTATTTATGCATTACCTCTAAGCAGAAATCCGACGAGTCCAGAGAGGGATTGAGTAGAAGTTCCTGTGCATCCACCAGCCGGTTCACACCGAAAGGCATCAGAGATCGACAAATAGATAGAACTGTCTCATGCTCGATATCGTTAAGAGGAGAATTTCCGTCGAAAGCAAATTTTAAGAATCGAGACAAAACGCCTGTCTCGTGAACTAGGCACAAGTTGACGTTGGAAACGTCTAAAATCGAGGATAAGATCTTAAGTACCAGCAAGGATGCTGTGTTTTCTGGGATTTGCTTATCGCGTGGTAGAGATTCCCAAAAGTCCACGATAGTACGGATGACCTCGGGGTTTTGTAAAGTTGACTTGGGGCCAACAGTCTTTTGGATCGCCGCCTCAATCGATGCTATATGGTCACCTAAGCGAGCAACATCGTGAACCTCGCTCCTTGTGCCATCTTCTCCAGTACCGGGCTCATCCGGCGCGACCAAAACCCAGGGCGCGGCGTCATCTAACGTGGCAGAGCAACATAGTTGATCCAGCGCCGCATCGTTTACAGCCAAGAAAAAGAGCTTCCCAAATAACTGGCAGCTTGTCCACAGATCTGAATCGCTACCTCCAAGGCCAATGCTCGCTATAATTTGCTCCAAAGCATCCCAACCGCCACCCTCGACCCGCGTACGAAAATACCGTCGGTTACCAGGATGCGCACGGAAGGCGGCAGCGAGAGCACTAAATACGGCATTGAGGAGCTTAAAAAAGCTTCTCTTCTCATCATCATCTCGCTTTTGGAGGTTATAAAAGCCAGAGAAGGACCGCAGTACGTCGAGTAGGTGGTGAAAGCCACGAAGATGTCTAAAGTCGTCTTGGATGGAGCTTGGTGGGGCAGTTGCGGACAGATATTGTTGAATTTGTCGTATCTGAGCTATTAAGGGCTCGAATTTCGGGTAGCCGCTGTTTAAAGAAGCGGATATGATAGAGGATACGGCATCGAGGAGAGACTGGAGGACTTCGGAAGCTTTGGAGGTAGCTAGCGGTGTCGATGCGGAGGTGGACGATCGATAACGACCCGGGCGTGTGGACATGATAACGGTAACAGAACGACTAAAGCTTAATGAGGGATGACGATTATTTGTTTCTTCATATTATAGAAACTGATCCTGCTACTGCTAGTACCCTATCGGGGTCTAGGCTGCCGTTTACGCCAGAGAGCATCGAAGAATTGGAGGGGAAGTTCTCGCGACGAGATTTGGAATACGCAATGCGGCAGGCTTGACTTTGTGTAAGATTTTAGTTCTACTTGATCAGTTGTCGGCGTTGAGTATGGTGAGTAAAGGATCTGGGGTCGCTTTGATAAACCCCAAAGATCCGCGCCAGTGTGTTGAAGTTAATTGTTCTATGAATTCAAAGCTCTACAGCTAAGTTTAACGTTTAACTGTTGTTAGAAGTCGCTAGGCTGTCAGCCTCAACTAGACGTTTACTACGTACCTCATTCAGGACGTCAAGCAGGGAAGCCTTAGGTAGTAGCTTAGATACAAGGTACTTGAGGCAGTATGTGTGTCAATATGTGTGGCGCTGTATTCCGTACAATTGAATCAATGCTTGGCATTAAACGTGCAGCTCGAATGCTGACGTAATCAATTAAGTACCTAGGTACTTGCTAATATTGAATGGGTACTGATGAAATAGGGGTAATGTCACGGTTCAAAATGCACGAGTAGGGACAAATGAGGCAGCAAAGTCGAAAACACTTAAGCGTCAGTTTTTATGTAGGTGACTATGATAAGAAGCTAAAACAGAGGAATTACTTAGTAGGAGAGCCGATCCCCTAAGCGTCTGAGCCTTAAAGTGGCACAATATCTACCTTTGAATTGTAAGTCAATTATTGATGTAATCAACGGTTTTAATATTATATATTCTTACTTGAGCAGATCTAGAAGCCCAAAGAGCCAGTAATGAATTCCCAAGCTGCTTGATAGCTTTTGTCTGCCGGCGTCATGATCCGCAGTAGCCAGGCCGTGTCTCGGCCCCCTTCCCAGAAAGCCTCGCACCTCGATTCCGCTTTGAGCCATTCCCAATCGCTCGGGTACCATCCTGATTGGTGCCAGTCAATAATGGCGGCGACGTGAGGCGGAGATTCTCCATCCCTCGGAAAGACGAGTATGTTACTCCTATCTAGATCGCTATGCGTAAATACCACCGGTCTGTCATCCGTCAAGCCGGCCAACTCGGGAAAGTCACGCCGCGGGTTCCAGTCCGGATGCTGGCGGCAGGAGTAACGCGCAAAGAAATCATGAAATTGTGTTATGCCTTCAAACGGGCCGGCGTGCGGGTCACCCGCGTCACTGAAGATAATGTCCCCTACTCCTTGACGTCCGATATGTCCTTGAGCTGTCAGTACACTAGATTATTTACGACATATCCAGAATCTTACCAACATAGTACGGTTCCGTCTCTTGACGGAGATTGCGCCACGCCTCCACGAACGTACGGAGCTGCTCGCAAATTATATTTTGGTCTTCTTGGTTAAGCGATGGCCACACGTCTTCTAGTGTGTCGGCGTTAATAAACTCCATATAGATGAATGTCTCGCCTTCATCATGGCACCACCCGTACAGTTCCGGCGTAGGCACTGCATCTTTCATGTATTTGTTGAAATACCACAGACACTGTGCTTCGGCTATTGTGATCTCTGAGCCATATTTGACGACAAGTCCTAGTTCTTCGAACAGGATCGGTGGAGGTCTTGGTGATCGTGCGCGAAAACTATTGACTTCGATATCCTTTTCTCGAATTTCCTTCGGAGAAGGAAGGTCGTGCTCATTTTTCTTAAAAAATAAAGAATCAGGAAACACCATATTTTCTGCCCTGGGTAATTCTGCCACTCGCACCGTTATGGGCACTACACCGATGGTGTTCCTGGCAGCCATGTCTAAGGAGCCGAGCAAGGATTTAGGATCAATTAGTGCCGCATACTTCTTTTTTTATAACTGTTAATACGAGTAGGTAGTCGGTCTGATGCTGACCTTGGACCTTGGTGAACAGGCAGCCTACGTATCCTCCCTTGAGTTGGCTTAAAAGCCCACAGCCACGCTTCTTCGCCACAAACCAGTGCACGTTAGGTACCTATTGATGTTGGTCCGGCTAGCAAAATCCAACCGTATATTGGAGCATCTAGCTTTATTAATGCTGTGGCAGGCTACTTACTCTTAAAATCGGAGTTTCCCCTTCGTGCCTTTCGTCCAATGGTAACATAATTCCTATTTGGACTAAATGCGAAGTTGCTTCTTTGATCCACCACTGACAATCTTTAACTCTCATCCTCTTAGGAGGTACTTCAGCAGCCCTGTCAGTATCTCTGTTCACTTTATTAAGGCTAGGTCCCGGTGCTGGCACTTCCCTACAAGCCGCGTCAAATGCATTGAAAACAGCATTCTCTGCCTCTCTCGGATCCTCTTCGCTTGAGGTAACGGTTCCGTCCTTGTTTGCTAGATCCATATGTGTCTCCGACACCAGCCCGATAGGGAATGCATTAGGGTTCCTATCGTCTTCGCAAACATTGTAGTTACGGATATATTCATACTGAAACCCGTTGAGCCGATCACCTGTTACATGAATGCGGTCACCGATGTTTGATTGCTGATTGGTGTCAACATAAGGTAGCCAGAATGACCAATGCGCAGCGAATAAACGAGAAGGGTATACCAGAACGTAAATAATTCGGGGCATGGCGTTTGTATCGTAACAGACGTATATAATAACTAGTAGGTAATTGAGATAAATTTAAGGGGGTAACGATCATTGGAGTCTACACCTTATCCCAAAGTCATCCTTAACCATCAACCCAAAGTCTAACCCGATTTGGCAAAAGCTAAGGCCTTAGATCCAACATTTTAATTGGTTGCATTTGACGGGGTCCGCTTTGGGGTAAGCTTTATACGACTTTGGGGTAAGTTTTTAGCGTTTTTAATCATTAAAATAAGACTAAATGCCTTATAATTACAGCACATTATAACCACTAAATTCCCTATATTATAGCGCTAAACACTTAGGTTTTTAACGCACTTTATCTAATCGATTAAAAATTAATTAGAAATTAATTAAATATACGCTTACCTATTTTTTATCTTTTACTTATTTTAAAATAAACTTTTTATATTTAAATAAAATAAAATAAAAATTAATAGTTAATCGATTAATAATTAATTATTAATCAATTATATTAAATTTATTTATATTTTATCAAATCTTATAATACTATATAAAAACGTATATTTACATAAATATAATATTAATGAAATAGTAGTTAAGTTTTGGGTGCGCTAGTACTATTATGGTATAAAATGGTCCACATATGCCTAATTGGGTTAGACTTTGGGTTAATGGTCAAAGATAACTTTGGGATGAGCTGCGCCCTCCGATCATTGAAGTTATGAGAGAAACGGCAGTACCAGCCACCTGTACCAGCCACCTGTAATTTTGATTGGTTGAAATAGGTAACTGCATGCCAGCCTCATTCCCAAGCCAACCCCTTGGCAGAGCTATACCATTACATAATCTTCGAGCAACTGGCAGATCCTAGAAACAGTGTGAGAATGATAGTATCGGTTGAAATAATGAAATAACTATCGAATAAAAAAGTATATATCTCTATGTAGTTCTTGATTTACTTACGCGGCTATGATAAAGACATACTTCCCGAGACATGATAAAGCTGTATGGCTGAGACAAGCCTTTTTCTTATTGTCATATTTAAACCAGTTATAACTACCTATAGTAACCAATATCAGCCTAATAGATAGTTTGGTGAATACCTGTTTATACTATGACCTCTAGCTTAGAGTAAACTCTATAAGAAAGTCATTACACTTTGGAAGCATCAATAAACTTTTGCTACTTCAAACTGTGCACTGTGCTATGCCATCGTATTCAATTTGTCTGCTATTAGTAAATTTGCATTGATAACAAGTTGTTACCATAGCATCCCGATAGATAATACATACGGTGGGAGTGATAACAAGCGGTATCCGATTCATTCGAGTCAAGTGAGCATAGATGATGGAGGGAACGGATAGTCAGTCAGTATGGATGTAACTGGGGTCATTTTCGCGAGTGGGTGGGGGAGAATGCTCCCCGGATGGGTAACACGAGGTGGATAAAGTTTCACATGTAAGAAGTTGGGGATATTCTCTAATGTGGCATATCATAATTTCTAATAATGCGGTCTGCACTTCAATAAATCCAACTTCAGCATGATGTGTAGGCTTAATGCTCTAATACATAGGTAGGTAGTCCCTAGAAAGGGGAAAAGGGTTGTTGAGTACCTAACATATGTAGTAGAGCAGGAGAGCACGTGTCGCGTCGTCAAGGATCTGTTTTGAGTCAAGTACAAGCAGCTGATCCAGGGTGGCAGGCTGGTAAATTGAAGCTGCAGGGCTGGTGGGTTGAGTGGTCAGTAAGAGCCCGTAAAAGCCAGTAGAGCCAGTAGAGCTCGGGCGCTGAAAACAGATTCCAAGCCAATCAAGCTTGTACCTTACTACCCCTAGCTCGATTGTGTCATACCATCGTTATCTGAGGTGAATCTTACGAGCTAAGTCCCCAAGCTACACGTAACAGATGTAGCTAACTATTAGAAACAAAGTGAGTTCCAGGAGTCCGTCGTAAAATCGATTGTTCGTTTTAATAGGATGATATAAATAAAGAAAATGACAACTTGGTCGATTTAGTCTAGTATTGCCGTCCTCGTGAGCCTTTGCGCCTGTGGCAAATGTGTAGCACTTTCAGGGTCCAAAAGCTGCATGACGGTAGGGAATCCACGTATGCATGCTGATACCTACATGTATCTCAACTCGGTCGATAAGATAATAGGGGAGAGAGCATTGAAGATGGTCATTCCTTATCACTGACCAATTGCCACAGGGACTCAACAGATTCAATTTGCCTATACCTGTTTAGGTGCTCATCGGCAACCGCGTGAGCCGGAACCGATTGGGATGGACCCTCTCCATTGCTGAATCAATTGTACATATTTAAGGTACATACCTATGTACGTAGGTACTGCTTAATTCCGATTCCGGCAGTCGCCTATTTTCTCTATGGCTACTAGGGACTTAAAGTGTTCCCAATGAGAGTGTTGGATAGAAAATCACTTGCATCTTGAGCAAGTCGGAATTCAGCATCAAAGCAGGGGAAATACAAACTCCCGGTAGATGACGACCTATTGAAGGATTGCTGGTATGTCCATATTGTACATAATACATACCTAGGTAGGTACATGTATGTAGTATCTTCTAAGGTACGATGTACCTACCCAAGACTCGGGGATTTCCACCAATAAGGGGGTCTAAACTCATTTAGGGTTAGTGTTAAGGTCAGCCTATGCCGCTAGCCCCAGTGCGAGCTAGCATTTCCGTTCTTATCTGGTTGGCCCAGCGGCTGTGTGCGTCACCTGCACCACTCCAGGCTGGGGAAGGCAGCCATAGTGTAGGAGTGTAGGTTGGTACACGGTCGCAAGGCGGTACCTTGTCACCGTAAGCTCGTGCTTCGGCTTGTGGCAGCCACCTTTATCTTTCCCGCTTTCGCTCGTCAAGAGCTTCCTCTTTCTCTTCTTCCTTTTCCTTCATCTCCTAATCATCTCATCTTCCCATCATCAACACAAAGTCGTCTCATCTTTGTGTGAATACTACACCTACCGAGCACCATTGGCTTGGCCTCTCGGATTTCCCCTGGTATTTATTTCCCCTTCAAGTCGCAGGCAGACTTATCATTCACTGGTGCATTGTTATCGGTCCGCAAACATCAATCGTCCATCCATCAATAAATCATCAATATGAGGGGCTTCATCGCTCTCTCTCTCGCCTGCGCTGCAGCTGCAGCGCCCTCGTTCAGCTACGAGACTATCCACGATGGAGCAGCTCCCATCCTGTCCTCCGCCACCTCTGAGGAGGTTCCCAACTCATACATCATCAAGTTCAAGAGTCACGTTTCCGATTCCTCGGCCGCTGATCACCACTCGTGGGTTCAGAAGATCCACAGTGACAAAGAGGGTGAACGATTAGAGCTCCGCAAGCGTGGTCAAATCCCGCTAGTTGGTGATGTCGTTGACAGCTTCAAGGGTTTGAAACACACCTTGAAGATTGGCTCCGAGTTCCTGGGATATTCTGGCCACTTCGATGACTCAACCATCGAAGAGGTCCGAAGGCATCCGGATGTAAGTATCAATCCAGCATTACAATGTATGAGACATTTGGAGTAGTCGTGCTAACTTGGGAACTACAGGTCGAATTTATCGAGAAAGACTCGGTTGTCTATGCTCTCGCGGGTGAAGAGCCGGACCTAGAGAAGAACGCGCCATGGGGTTTGGCACGAATCTCGCACCGTAAACAACTCTCTTTCGGTTCATACAACAAGTACCTCTATGCCGCTGAAGGCGGTGAGGGTGTCGACGTCTACGTCATTGACACCGGTATCAACACTGAACACGTTGACTTTGAAGGTCGTGCCTCTTGGGGCAAGACTATTCCTAGCGGCGATGAGGATGTTGATGGCAACGGTCACGGTACCCACTGCTCCGGCACTGTCGCTGGTAAGAAGTACGGTGTTGCCAAGAAGGCCAATGTTTACGCCGTCAAGGTCCTCCGATCTAACGGATCTGGTACTATGTCTGATGTTATGAAGGGTGTCGAGTGGGCTGCTGAAGCGCACTTAGAGCAAGTTGCTAAGGCCAAGAAGGGCTCTCGCAAGGGCTTCAAGGGATCTACCGCTAACATGTCTCTGGGTGGAGGTAAATCTCCATCCTTGGACCAGGCTGTAAATGCTGCTGTTACCGCTGGTCTCCACTTCGCTGTTGCTGCTGGCAATGACAATGCCGACGCTTGCAAGTACTCCCCTGCTGCTGCTGATAAGGCCGTTACTGTCGGTGCCAGCGCTCTCGATGACAGCCGTGCGTACTTCTCCAACTGGGGCAAGTGTGTCGACATCTTCGGACCGGGTCTCAGCATTCAGTCGACTTGGATTGGAAGCAAGACTGCCATCAACACCATCTCTGGCACGTCCATGGCTTCGCCTCACATCGCCGGTCTCCTTGCCTACTTCCTTTCTCTACAGCCTGGCAAGGACTCCGAGTACGGCCTCGCCGACATTACTCCTGAGAAATTGAAGTCCAACATTGTCAGCATCGCCACTAAGGATGCTCTCTCCGACATCCCCAGCGACACCCCTAACCTACTCGCCTGGAACGGTGGCGGTTACTCCAACTACAGCCAGATCGTTGAGCAGGGTGGCTACACTGCTGAGACTCCCGCTGACAAGACCATCAGCGTTGAGGATCTCGAGAAGGCTATTGAGCACGACTTCAACGTTGTTTCCGGTACCGTCGTCAAGGGCGTCTCTTCTCTCTCCGGTAAGGCCGAGGATCTTTCTCGCAAGATCCACCAGATCGAGGAGGAGTTTAAGGAGCTTTTCGAGGAGCTCCGTGTATAAAGTAATGTAGCAATGTCGTCCTTAGCTAGTAGAGCTTGCACGTGCTGAGTATTGGGCATCGGCAAGTATGGCATAGATCATTGAGGAGTAGTGTTTTGGGCATTCGGTCAACTAGGCCTGTTTATATTTGTACACGCAGAAATGGTCTCGGTAGTATGGTTACGTCTTATTAGGCTTGTCTCATTATGGCCGGAATAGCAAATTTGTCATTGCCATGTGCAATTCGAGCAGTATATGTTTTGGTAGTTAATGTGATGAAGTAATCTAGGTTCCCTAAATGACATTCGTAGAATATTTCTCTTACATATATCTCGTAGGTACACCTATGCATCCCAAAATGTTCCCTTACAGTCTTGTACTTGAATTAATACTTCGCTGTCCTGTCTACATGCATATGAGTTGCATATATTGGTAACAAGCCTACTCGTGATGCATACCTAGATGTCAACAGGTGCCTACTCACAATAAGTACCTACATTAGGTAGGTTAGTTAGCTACATGTGGTAACCAAAGAGTAGAAGGTATAAGACACTTGCATGTATACGTGTAGGTACACTGCCGTATAAGTGCGACTCCTATGTCGAAGCAACATCCATCGTATAGGGAAAGGGTGGACTTTCCTCGATGTCCTCGAGGTTATTGCCCTCCTCCTTTGAAGAGTCGAATGCGAAATGGCCTTTACTAATTCTACCACATTTTTATCTTCACATATTCCCATCTTAGCACATACATTCATCGAACTTCAGCACTATCATCTCCAATCGAGATCTTCCACGTTGAAAACGGTGACTTTTTGGTTAGTTTGTATTTCAAACGGGCTTCTAAAATAGTCCAACTTCGTTGTTGGATCACCCGATTTTTTGGTTTCTGCATGTGGACGCTATTGACTACCGTCTTTGGATTCTGCCCTCTGCACTTATTATATTCAGATACTTTATTCTACCCAGACCAGAATGCACCGTCGGAATAGCACAAAGTTCCGTCACCTTGACCGTCGAAAATCAGCTTCCTCTGCGAAAAGCGTTCATCTAGAGCATATCCATCCTGAGACTGCTAAGCGCGATGCTCAGGCTGCTGCTTCGCAAGCATTTGCGAGGGCTAGGGAACGCTCTACCACGGACGCAACTTTATGGCCACCACCGCGAAACAGCGATCCGACCAGGGCCGCTGGCTCTAGCAGTATACACGGCAGACGCAATAGTGACTCTCCCATCAAGCGCCAACAAAGTGTTCGATTTGTACGGGAGAATACCATACGTGGTACACGAAGCAGTACCGTGGTCGAAAGTATGACGCCAACTTTCACAGCCAGTACATCCCAAGGTAAGACTGGTGGAAACAATATTGAGCCTCGTCTGGCAAGCAGTGCCTCGGCGGCGGGTATGGTCTCTGCAGCCAAAGGCACAGCAGGTGACTACATTAATGCACTCTTTACAGGCGAGGAGTATTATACGCCTGAAGACGATATTGCTTCCGTCCCTTCATCCTATCGGAAAATCCGAAAATCCAGGTCGATGTTTACCTGCTCTGAAGTCAGTATAGCTTCACGAGGCGACGATCAAAGCCCATCCTCCATAACAATAAATCATCTCCCAACGATGTCTGTGGGCTCCCCGAATATGGGTATTGGCGAAAATATGCCTGGAACAAAACTCAAAGCGCCCAAATCTATGTCTTTCTTAAGGGGTCGCTATGATCAGTCGATGTTATTCTCCAAGCGCCGTGGAAGCGTTCCTATGGGGCTATCTAGTAACGAAAGCGTCAAAACTCAGACTAATACGGAGCTTCCCACGAAGTCACAGCCATCAATCTTCTCTCGTTCAAAGTCTACCAACGCCGAAAAGGTTCTCAGGAAGAGCATGAGAGATGGGAGTAATGATACCCTACCAATAGATGGGGAAATTCCCAAGGATGGCAGTCTAAGAAACCGGGCTCGGAAGGTCTCGAACAGCTTTAAGCATAAATTAAAAAGCTTCTTTAATCTAGTCAAAGGAGATACCGATGAAGCAGAGTTTCCCCCTCAACAAATTGAAGCTTCAAAATCCCATATAATAGACCCTGGCTCTCTGGGTTATACGGGATATGACGAATTTCAGTTCGAACCGACAAGTGACGAAGCGGCTATATCACGCGTTCCTTCAGGAGTTCCCTCATTACATGCTGTCCCGTCATACCAGCAACTTCGTTCACGGCAAGGCAGTGTCGAGAGCCTAAGAAGCGAAAGAAGAGCCTCGGATGAAAGGTCTCGAGTAACAAGTTGGTCGAACTCAGACACCAACACACTTAACACGTTAAGCAGCCAGAAAAATGAATGGGACCGACAGCGTCTCTCAGTTATAAAAGAAAATGGGATGCATGTCTCTTCATCGTCAGCAAGACCTTATGCCAATACCTACGGCATCAGTCCAGACACTAGCGTTCGTTCTGGTCAACCACCACTGCCACCACAGCCAGTAGGCATTGACAGCCAAAGAATATACTCCGCACTTATGAAAAGGCTTAACAATACGAATAAACATTCGCGAAGAAGCGAAGCTCAAAGGCAAGAAAATGTCGACGGTTTCATTGATACGGATGCTATCCCTTTGAGAGGTAGCTCTCGGGACCACGACAAACGATTGTCTATCTCGCGAGCAACCATTCGACATGTCATTTCCGACGAGTCCTCTGACCCATCATCGGAGAGGGTAGCTGGAAAGAACCCAAATTCAAGTGGTCTGGAGCTTGACGCGAAACTGGACCAATCCCCTTTCCATTCCACCAGTGAATTAAACACCAAGAAACAAGAGCTTTCATCCTTTACATCAATAACCACGGCAAATGAAACTAAAGGGGTTACCAATGAAGATTTTCAACCACTCTCTGTACCACGCGTCGATAAACTCTCACCTCAGGCGAGAACATTGTCGACTCGTAGCTCGGCCTTCTTTGCCAGTCCTACGTGTCATCTATTCCGCACTCGCAGCCCATACAGACGTGCACTCCAAGATTCGATGAAAGCCGAACCTCAGAATGCACAAACTAGGTCCCCAGAGTTTAATCCTTGGATGCGTTCACTGACGAACCTACCCATTAGATGTCCGAGTGCATGCGAGTCTGAAGTAGATAAGAAAATGTATTATGCGGAAAGTGTGTACTCTTGTACAACAGAGGAGCCATCTACTGGACCCTTGAACAACAATGTATCTCATACCGTAGATAATTTGCCAAGGCATTCAACTACGCATGGTGATGCCACAATATTTGTCAGTCCTCCTGTCTACCGACCTACTCCGCCACATCCACCTAAACAAAGAGTCACATCTTCAGCAAGTTCTGTGGAATGGAAAACGTGGCTATCTGCCAATGTTTCAAAACTCGAGGGTACGTCTGGTCGTGCGGACACAAATGTTATGGAATATGCCGTACCATCGACTCGCCCAACAGGCCATATTCGCGAAGAAGCCCAGATAAGCGACGAGGACGAATATCTTCCATTAGAAGTATATAAGCCTACAAGACCGGATAGTGCGCTTGCAGCAATTGAGAACAATGCGAGAGCCTCACCCCAAACCCCACGACATGCTCCAAAGAGTTCATCGCCAGTTTATGACTGCGGAAAAGAAAATGAGGTCCCGGAGCGACCTGCGATCCTTTCCAAAAGTATATTACGTACCACGCCATCATTAGCAAGTATGAAATCGGGTACCCAAGGAGCAAATGCATCTACAAAGAAAGGTGTGTTCGATTCTAACTACCGGAAGTCTCTCGCCCACACGCCCTCGCTTGACACCCTTGCGGGTAATTCTACTCAAACATCAACTAGGAAATTGGTGAGAAGACAGCCAGGACACAAGATTAATGCTACGCCCACGACGAGTCCAGGACATGGGTTAATAGTGGATAAAGGCTCGGGAAAGAACAGTGGCTTGACTAATTCGATGCGCATATTTGGCACAATGGCATTGAAGAAGACGGAAAACGTTAGCCCCAAAAACATCGTCGACGCTGATGCCGACCCATACGGTGTCCAAGGGTCCGGTATCCTTGGCCCAGGGGCCGACCTAAATCTAGAGTCGATAGGAAGCAAGAAGATAGTTGATCTCTTCCTTAGTAGCAGGCGTAAGCGCATAGCGAGCGGCGAAGATGGCGGCGTATTTTCATAATAGACGTGTACAAGAGCTATCGGTTGGGTAATCTTGAGTTGGTTGTGAAAGGCGGGCAGGAAACTAACTTGAAGCACAGCACTTACGTAGCTACGGCTTTTTCGAACATATTAGGCATCAAGAAAGGAGGCTCACAGCATTATACTATACGGCTATAAAGACGGACGTGTCGATAGGAGTGTATAAAAACACTAGTTATACGACCATCGCTTAGTATGAATGAGGAAATGGTTACTTACGTCAAGACTTCCCGGTAGCGTAACCATACAATTGCAATAGAAGCAAATTAATTCTGGTACCTGTTCTGGGCAAGCTTACCAGTTATGTTGAATTATTTGAAAGTGGACAGACACATTTGTATGTTCGTATGAAGGTATTTTCACGTCTTCACAATCCCTCAGAGAGCGAGTAGAGAGATGTTATCTCAGCAGCCCCTGACCATTCGACTTGAACATAACCAATATATACATATTTTCAAAGATTGTTACCGGACAGGCACTGGTTCTAATAAGCAACTAACAATGTTGATAAGGAGTTGCTGCAGATGCGTGATTACTTTGATTGGGAAAAGACTTCCAGGTGATGCCTTCGGTAGTACCGGAGTTGAGAACCTCCCTAGGTTAGACTGTGCAATAACTGCCAAGAGTAGTTGGATTTTCTTCGAGGGAAGATTGTTCCAGCGTCATATTCTAGGCACATCGATCGCTATTGACTTGGCGAAACCGCGGTCTTATACTATGCTAGGTACCTACGTACGTACGTATCACGTCGAAGGAGCGCGTGCGCCGATACGTCGTATTGCGGCTCCTCTGCGCAGCACCGCCGGCCAATCACGGACGGCTCCGGGTTCTGACGTGCGTTCCGCACTTGCCGCGAGTTTCAGAAGATGCTGGTGGACGGGGGCTGTGATCCTCTGATGTGAAGCTTGGTGGTAGGTACCTATGTTATGGTTTGTGGCGTTGCTTGGGAAAGCTTGTTATGGTTGCGTTGATAGCAAGCTTATTCCCGTTTGAAGAAAGGGGGACAGATCGTCGAGATATTTGGTTTGGATCGAGATTTCGGGATGAAACAAAAGTTATGCCCTGTTATGGTAGGCGTATATATGGAACTAGGCATCCAATTGATGCATATTGTTGTGAATGTCATTTATCACATAGACATGGACATGTATAGCATAACCTAGGGCCTGCTTACGATGTAAGCAAGCTACATAGCAGATACATATCTGCATGGCCTTGGTGGTGGCTTACCAGATAGGAGCAGATAGGAGTTATGATAACTATTTTCGGTCACCTGTCTCAAACTAGAGCAATATATTGAATTAAGAAACATGTGGCGGTCGTATAAGCCAAGGATACTTTCTGCGACGGGGGGGGGGGTACCATGTCTCTCATTTATGAAGGAGATGTGACGTAGATACATGGCAGGTCAGCATATAATAAGTATACAGTCTGCTCGTAGTACTCTGGGAGATGAATTGTAAAAGTTTACTTGAATTTCGTCCGTCTTCCCACGTGGGACCATGGATGTTGTCGATATAGTTCTAGTATCATATGATCACGAAGTGCCCCAGTCGTGAGCCTCCATGGAGGACAATCGTCGTTACCGCGTCGACTATAGCGAGAACGTCGCGCCGAAGTACCCAGCAGGGAACCACGACGGAATTGAGGTAGTTCCTAGCGACTCCCCTTTCTACCCTCATCCTATATATACCGCTCCTCCGGCGAAAGGAGGCGAAGAGTGGCCTTCGGTGCCGAAGAGTTGGGCAGATGCGCCGGTGTCAGCGGTAACAGCACCGGGGGAACATAATAAAGAAGAAAAGCGGCGCGTGTTGGGACTCACTATCCCGTTATTCTGGACAGTCGTCGTCATTATAGTTATCGTTCTGGCAGCGGCTATTGGAGGGGGGATAGGCGGGGGCTTAACAGCGCAACGGGGAGCCAAGACCAGCGCATCAAGGTTCGTAACACCCGCATTATACCATATTCCCTCGCTGAACGAGTCTAAAAGTGATACGGAAAACGCGCCCCAAGCATCCTCAACATCAGCCTCGCCGGCTTCTGCAACAACGACAGCACCAGCCAACGGCCCTCTTCCCTCAGACGGCGGGTGCCCCCTAATCGACCGACAGAGGTATACGCCGTATGCTGTAGATGGTAAACCGATCCCACTCGCGCAAGGCCTTGAGGGGCAGCAGTTCCGGCAGCAATGCTACACGAACTATGTCTCGTCGGGAACATCACAGACGCACGATATCCTGCGCATATTCATGCCGACTCTCGAGAACTGCATGATGGCTTGTGCCGAGGCAAGTTGTCCCTTTCCTCTTTCCCGACTTCTGTGGCGATCGATCGACACGGGCGTGTCTCGGGGGTTCGAGAAGTAAAATCGTCTTACTGGAATATTACCCGAGACATGCCGCGCCCCTTTAATTTCCTTGAATTTCGGTGCTGACTGGTCGTTGTTAGTACAACTCGGCGTACTACGCCAACCTGGGGAACGGGACCGGTGTCGGAGGCGGCTTTTGCGTAGCTGTGACCATCGTTAAAGTCGATGCTGGGTTTTGCTACTTGAAGAACGGTACTAGAACGAATGATACTCTGGGCCATCCGGATACATATTCGAGTGCCGTGTTGCTTACCAAGATCGATATACCGGATTCTTAAGGGATTTGGGGGTATCGCGATGACCGTCTTATGAAGTGATATCAATTATAGAGAAAGTCAGATTAATTTATAGATCCGAATTAAAATAGCTGTGTAAATATAATGTATTTATAAGATATGGATGGGTGCATGAGATCCTTGGTTCCTTATCACGCTGTCATTAGACAGTGGTACTCCGTCGTGAATTAGCCCATAAGTTGACAACCTAGGGCCTTATTTAAAGGGGGGATTGGCATAGAATAGACAGTCAATGCAGTATATTACCTATCATTTAACTTTTGTTTATATTATCCAGTGAAGGCGTGCCGCGGAGCTGGTGATATAGGCCATAAGTTCACAACGCGTACTTTTCGACCTGCCCTTTTCCAAGCCTGTGGTCCAAACATTCAGAATCCGTAGATTCCAACCACACACTGCTCTATAACTACCCTATCCTACATCCCACCAACCGTGACCGACAAACTTTTAGACTACCACATCCATATCTTACATGTGCCCAGAGCTTAAGATCGACTCTTGCCCAGTTCGCTCTGCGCCGTAGCAGTAGGGCCGCCTTTAACCCGCTGGCCCCCGGTAACCTTTTTTTCTCCCTCGGTGATATCGTGGAGGTTTTGGCTGTTGATGGGTTCATTGGCGTGACTCTGGGCCTGCGCCGTGGGACCCCCCTTTACGGGCTGGTCTTGGCCCGTCAGCTCTGTCTCCGCACCGTGGATTGCGGGGCGGAATTGGTTGTCTGTAGCAGGGGGAGTTAGCTACTGGCGAGTTGTACTTGTACGGTTTGAGGTTCGGACAAGGACTTACGGAGGAGGCGATGCTCTGTGCGAGAGCGGCGGGGCCGCCTGATACGGGAACATCACGGCCTGTTACTTTCTTCTCTCCCTGCGCGACGTCGGAAACCACGTCGGAGGAGACGGGCTGGTTGGCGTGTTTTTGCGCTTGAGCTGCTGGGCCACCGGCTACAGGCCGATCTTGACCTGTGAGTTCCTTCTCCTTGGCTGTGATTTCGGAGATGGACTGCGAGTTAAGAGTTCTGCTACTGGCCATGATGAGTGTCTTCGGGACAGCTGGTCTAGGGACCGCGATGCGTGAGCTGATATTAGGTAACCTAAAGAGGTTGGCGATTACGGATCGAGACATGATTTCGAGATGGGTTTGTATAAGTGATTGTTGTGTAAGCGGGGGGGGGGGGGGGGGGGGGGGGGGATAATATGCGGGAAAAATTTTAAATTAATAAAAATTAATTATTGAAAAATAAAATATTAGAAAGGTATATAATATAAAAAAAATTATAATA